TTCACGTTCAGTCTGCTAGACGCTCTTCTCGATCTGAAGGGCGTCCCTCTCATCCTAAAGGGAAAGCAAGAATACTGATCTTTAAATCAAAATTTTGACCACCTTCTTCCAATAATATCAAATTCTTGATAAGATCATGATTCGCAGTATCGATCGCGATCGAAGTGTAACAGATTTAGACAAAATTAGTATAAATTAATCAATATAAACCACGTATCAGACTTGAAAAATAATTACGTATAAATTGATACTCGCATATGAAACGATACGAGAGCTCCTTACACTACATTTAAGAATCATTATTACTACAATAATGATGTAATAATGATGGACCTTTTATGAATAACAAATTCTTAATTAGATCGCTCATTAGACTACATCTTATTATTGCTATAATAATGATCTAATATTAATGATGTGAATTATTTTTTAATAGCATTGTTTTATAGGTTTTAGGGCATAATTGGTAGGAAAGATTTTGCATGCCTCAACTCTTCATTAACACTCCAAATATTGCGGTCCTATTCATAGACAAGCTAGTGAATTTTTGTTAGGTAAAGGAATGTCCATATGATATAGCCAGGAACAAAAAGTTCTGCTTCATTTCGTAACGTTCACATCACTCTCTTACATTGGTTTCTCAACAACCTTCAAATGATTGAAGATTGCATCAATAACTTTTTCTTCGAACTCTCACAATTGCACAATTTAGAAAGGGCAAGCCGCCTAAAATAAGTGTTTTGTTGGAAAGTATTTCGAATAGTATTTTTAAAAGGAAAATACTTCATTTTTGTTTCATGTCTTGATTGTGTCACGTATACTAATTTGTCTTAATAAGAAGTTGACATCTCTTTTAAACTTAAAAAATTACAAAATATGAGTTATACCTATTTTTTAGAATTAAACCCGACAGATTTATTTTTTTTATCTCTTTGTTTCCATTTGTGTATCTTCATTTGCATCTTTCATTTTCCTTAGCCGCCAATCATTCCAAACCTAATATTCCCATTGTGTCCTCCACCACTCTGCTTCAGATTGGATTTCAATTTCAATTTGGTCTTAACAAGAATTGATTCATTTTTTTAAAACAGGTATGTTAAAACATTATATTTGTCCCGCCGTATAATTTTTCTTTCTTTCAAATAGCTTAAATCAAGTAAGAGGTTTTGTTCAAATTTTGAGTTTTTTCGCTTTAAAAAACAAGGACAATGGTTTCTGTTCTGTTCTGTTATGTTCCTTTTGCTTTCATTCTTATTTATAAACAAAGGTACGTATGAAATAAAAATAAGATAGAAACCGTAAAATTGAGTCAAAAAAAAAAAAGGAATGACTTTCATATATAGCATGCATAAAAAATAGTTAAGATAGATTTTAAAAAGGGAGAAATTGAAATGGTTAGTTCAATTTTTTTAAGGATAATAAAATTAAAAAAAATAACAAAAAGGTAGGAAATACAATTTTCTATGAGTTAATTAAAAATAACATTCAAAGTTGAGTAAGGAAAAAAAATAGATCTGTCGGGTTTAACTATAAAAAATGGGTATAACCCATGTTTTGTATTTTTTTAAGTTTAAAAGAGGTATCAACCTCTTATTGGGACACGTCAGTGTGCAGAACACAATCTGTCTTGATGAAGCAGGGTTGAAGCATTGTCCTTTTAAACCAAGCAAACCGACTTTGTTTGTAACTTTGAAAACAGTTGTCGAGAATTCAAAAAACAGAAAATTGTATTCAGATAACTATAAAAGACAGTTATGTCAAAACACGCATTTTTACAAATGAATTTTAGAAAATGGATTTTAGAAACTAAACCTAGACGAATTTATTTTATAATTTTCTATTTTTAATTTTTTTAAAATACAAAACTATTTTCAAAAATACAGACGAACCAAGTTATAATGGGTATCAAATAGGGTCTCAGTGTGATTCTTGAAGCTCCTACAATAACGAAAAGAAATGAGAAGAATTTTTGAGGTACGATGACCTTATTAAATATGATAATCGGATCACAATGTCATATTTTAATAGAATATATCCGATTAGCTATAATTAAAAATTGAACATACTTTGTTGATGGTTGACCTCCAAACATGTGGCTTAACTATAAAATTAATTTTCCATGACTACCATATTTGAACAAAGAGATTATAAATGTTCTTGACCATCAATCAGTACCCTGTTAAAGGAGATGGTTACCAAAACGGATAAAATAATGGCTCCGATAGAGAGTTATTTTATATTATTTAGGAATGACTCCGTATCTTATTTATTATTTTATTATATATTCAATCCGTCAAAATGCAATTTTTTTTTTTGAAAAAAAAAAAATTACTAAATGGGTCATCAGCCCAATAATTCTCCTCGCAATAAAATTAATAAAATTAGCAAATAATGATTTAAAAATAAATAAAAGTAATTCGGAGAAGAAAACTATAATATAAACAAAAAAAATAGTAAAAATTTGATATTTAACCTTTTTTTTCCCTTTTTTTTACTTAAAATTCTTTTTTTTTTTAAGGTGCATATTTTATATTTGTCATGTTATATGTGTGTGTATTTTGCATTGTGCCGATGTATGGAGCTAATTCTTTACAGTGTCCAAAGGAGCAACAACATGCTTTCAATGCCCAAATTCTATATGGTTTTTCAATTTTTTTTTTTTTTTAAATGGGTGGCAATGATCCAATAGGACAATAATATGACCGAACTGCTATAAAGCCCGATGGGCCAGAACCGTCTCTGTTGGGTCAATGGGCCAAAACTGACATTAGTAAAAATAAGTAGAAGAAGTTAGTGGAATTATGAAACTAAAAAGTAGTCGATGTGATGTGAGATATTGACAAATTTTGGAAGAAATAAGTAGAATTTATCCTCTATTTTTTCTTGTTAGGTAACTATTAACACAGATGTATATCTAAATTTTGATAAATATTTCAAAAATATGCAGCTACTCGCACTGTGGAGCCAGAATGAGTAACCGGGAGTTTACCTAACAACCCTATTTTAACTTAAACCCAGCAAATCAACCACCTACCATTAGCTGACGACTATTAAAAATAGAAACGAAAAGCAATCAGCTGCGGTGATATTTACTAATTTATCCCTTCTGTTGACCAAAATAGCCTTGAAGCATTTTTGGGATCCATAAGATAAACCCATTGTAAATACTACTCCGTATAAAATTTGTTTAGACAATGTAACCCGGTATTAATTTCATCCTTTCAAGGTGAATGCAATGGTAATATTAAAATTTGAATGTAACCCGGTATTAATTTCATCCTTTCAAGGTGAATGCAATGGTAATGTTAAAATTTGAAAATTTTATAAGCTAATTAAAATATAACTCTCTTTATTATATTATTCTTAGTAGTATATATATATTGAGGAAAGAGCAATCTATAATACTAGGTGAGGAGTTCAATCGAATAGTGATAAGTTTGACAAAAATTGCATGACAATTTTACACTTTTCAAAAAAATTTGTAACCTGGTAATATCTCGTCCGCCTCCTAAAGTAAATAATAAGAGAGTTCAAATCTCCCATAAGCAAAAAAAATGAATGGGTGAACGTTTCTTACCAGTAAGTAACAATAACAATAACAATAATAATAGATTATGGTATGAAACTATTACTTATTTGTCTTGATTTTGAATTGAGAGCATTCATATTAAAACAGTATAGGCTAGCATGATGGTATATCTTCTTTGCCTTCCAAAACAGAAAGTCAAAACTTCAAAGTTGTTATAAAAATTGCACGTAAATTATAAAACATTAAAGACTCTGTCTGTTTGGACGAAAAATAATTTTTAAAAAATAATTTTTTATTTTTTAGTGTTTGGTTGTCATAAAATATTTACGAAGAAAAAAATATTAAAATTTAACAAAAATAATTTAATCATAAATTTTCGACAAATTATTTTACATGCCCGTCTGAGACGTAAACCTTTGTCAAATACCAACAAAATAAAAGTAAAAAAATATTTAACCTGAAAAAAAATATATATATTTTTTAAAAAGAATTTTTTACGTCGAAACAAATGAAGTATCATCATAATTTAGACAATATATAAACTTTATTCAACCATGTGAGCGTAGTAGCTTACCACCAAAGGGTTTGTTCGACCTTTCGGGATTAAACTAAAATGCAAGTCCAGTTGTGTCGAACCTAGTTAATCTTTGGTTTTTTTTTTCCAACAGTATGGACCATTATAGAAGTGTTGCAACATGATGACCAAATATTACTTCGGATCCTAGAAAATCAAGAAGACCAATGAGGAAAAAAAAAAAAACATAGAAAAGTATATATTAGTAAAAAAATATTTTGACCTTGGAATGAATATCAGGGTTCAAATCGTTAATTTGAAAGTAAACCATTAGATAATATAAATGTCTAACACAATATCCCACTCTTCACCCAAATAATGCAATTCCAATATAAATATACACACACACACACTAGGAAAAGGCATGTGATGCACGTAATGATTGTTTTTCAAATTATTTTATTATTTGAAAAATTATTTTATCAAATAATTACCTATTTTATCCATTTTTTAGTTGTTTTAATAATGATTTAAAACTCTTTTATTTTAATTCATTTTATTTATAGAAACTATTTTATTTTCATTCATATTATATCAATTAATAAATATTTTTTTATATTAATAAATAAATACTGAAACTCTTTACACTTTTAATAATAGTATAGAGATATAGATATATACACTCACAAATATATGTTTTATTTAATATAGGTAATTTCTCATAAAGTCTTTTAGAAAATATTTTATTTTTTAAAAAATATATCCTAATCTAATTAGATTTCATTTTATTAGAAAACCCTGCCAAAGAGTTTTCAGTATTTATTTATTTATATAAAAAAATATTTATTAATTGATATAAAAAGAGTTTTTATTAGGGATATCAATTTTTATCGCCCCACCCCGTCCCGCTCCTTTAATAACGGATATGGGAACACTTTTTATACCGTTGGGGTGGGCATGGATATAAATTTTGTACCCGTCGCGAGTCACAGGGCGGGTAAGGATTCAGTATACATATCCTAGGGGCCCGCCCCGCCCCGCTAAGCATATAACTATATTTAATATATATATATATAAAATATTAATAACTTATTTTAACGGTTTACCCAATTACCCATCTCTTACAATCCTAATTTGGGATGTAAACTTGGTATTAAATTTGCTTTTGTTTTGGTTATGTTGGAAGTTGGAGCTTAGAATTTCTTGTGATTTGGCTGTATTAAACTTTTATTTTTGTTTATTATGTTCTCTGAATTATGTTATGCGCATGTTATTTTTTTATTTCTGTTGGGATACATAATTTCATTTATGTTGTGTCATTCCCAGGCTTTCCACATTTAAATAGCAGAAGTATAAGTTCCAAAAAGTGGGAGAAAAAAATTTGTTAGCGAGGCGGGCATGGGGGTACAATATTTCCCAATGGGACGGGGGCTAGACATGAAAATCCAACCCGTCGCGAGTCTCGGGGCGGGTATGAACTTAACAAAAATTAAAAGGGGCAAGGTGGGGCGGGATTTAGGGAAACCCGCTCCAAAACCGCCCCGTTGCCATCCCTAGTTTTTATCTACACTATTATTTAATGTGTACAAAGAGTTTCAGTATCTCAGTATTTATTTATTTATATAAAAAATATTTATTAATCGATATGAAAAGTGTTTATATATATATATATATATATATATATATATATATATATAATTCTATAAAACTCTAAAATCTACCTAATAAAATTCAAATTAACTTATTTATATATTTATTACTATGAATTTTTTAATAAAAGAAATCAAATTAGACAAGAATTATTAATATAAAAAATATTTATTAATTGATATATAAAATAAAATAATTTTTCTAAAACTTTACCACAAATTAGCATTTGTTATTCTTGAATTAATATGATGATAACATATGTCATCTCCTAATAATAACATAATCATAACTAGATCGCGCCGGTTATATTGTATTAATTATCCATAAAAAATAACTATTATTTTTATATCAATTAATAAATATTTTATTGTGATTAATTTTATTAGGTAATTTTTATTGTTTTATAGAAACTATTTTTATAAAAACTATTTTTATATCAATTAATAAATATTTTTTAATATAAATAAATAAATACTAAAATACTGAATAGCCCGAGCCAGTTATATTATGATAATTATCCATAAAAATAACTATTCTTTTTATGTCAATTAATAAATATTTTATTGTGATTGATTTTATATTATTGTCTAATTAAATTTTACTTTATTAAAAAAACTCATAATAAATAAATTAATGTGATAGAGTTTTATAGAGAATAAAATAGCTAATTTGTGTTGAATTTATAGAAATTATTTTACTTTCTCTCAATATATTATTGTCTAATTAGATTTTCTTTTACTAAAAAAACTCATAATAAATAGATAAATAAATCATACCTGTTAGAGTTTTATAGAAACTCTTTTAAAAATTCCTTTTAAATCAATTAATAAATATTTTTTTATATTAATAATTTTTGTCTAATTAGATTTCCTTTTATTAAAAAATTCATAATAAAAGTTAATTTGCAGTAGAATTTTAGAAAAATTATTTAGTTTTTTATATCAATTAATAAATATTTTTATATTAATAATTCTTATCTAATTAGATTTTTTTTTATTAAAAACTCAAAATAAATAGATAAATTGATAATTTGTGTTAAAGCTTTATAGAAACACTTTTAAAAACTATTTTTATATCAATTAATAAATAATTCTTTATATTAATAATTCTTGTCTAATTACATTTTTTTCTTAAAAAACTCATAATAAATAGATAATTAGGTAATTTGTGTTAGAGTTTATAAAAAATCTTAAAATATATCATTATTGAAATTAAAATAGGTAATTTGTGGTTGAGTTTTATATAAATTATTTTATTTTATTTAAATATATCTTTGTTTAATTTGATTTTCTCTTATTAAAAAATTCATAATAATTATAAATTTGTAGTAGAGTTTTAGATAAATTATTTTGTTTTTTTATATCAAATAATAAATATTTTTTTATTAATAATTCTTCTCTAATAAGATTTTTTTTAATTAAAAAATTCATAATAAATAGATAAATAGGTAATTTGTGTTACGTAATTATTAATATTTTTTATATTAATAATTATTGTCTAATTAGATTTTATTTATTAAAAAACTCATAATAAATAGGTAGTTCAAAATCAATTCAAAATTAAGTCCAACCGAAAATCAAAAAACATTGAAACCCTACTCAAAATAATATATTAAGAATGAACCAAAAATAAAAAATAACATATAAAAAAATTTCGGCAACAAATTCAATTCAATATCAAGTACAATCGAAAATCAAAAAGCATTGAAACCTGACTTATTCTTAATATATTAAGAATGAACCAAAAATAAAAAATAAAAATTTGAGAAAAAAATTTCAATCCAAAGTAAACTTACAAAGAGTAAAATAAAAATAAAAACTAATGAAAGAAAAAAGAATAATGATACTTTTGAAAAATAAAAAGTAAAGAAAAATAAATAACAATAATTACTCAAAATAATAATAAATTATGAATGAACCAAAAATAAATTAAAAAATAAAAAAAGGAAAAAAAAAAATCAGAATCCAAAGTAAACTGACCAAATCAACTACTTCTAAACATCAATTAGGAAGAGAAAAATTAAATAAAACAAATCAACTACTTTTAAACATCAATTAGAAAGAGAAAAATAAAAATAAAACAAGAGAAAAAATTACTAATAATGCTTCTAAAAAGGAAAAGTAAAAAAAAAAAAAATAGCAATCCAACCTTCTCAATACAACAAATTAAGAATAACAAATTTTGAACCATCCAAAGTAAATTTACAAAAAGTAAAATAAAAATAAAGACTAAAGAAAAAAGAAGAATAACTTTTGAAAAAGAAAAAAAAATAATAACAATAATGACTCAAAATAATAAAGAAAAAAAAATAATAACAATAATGACTCAAAATAATAATAAATTAAGAATGAAACAATAATAATAAATTAAGAAAATGAAAGAAAAAAAATCAACCACGTCTATACATTTATTAGAAACATCAATTCAAAAGAAAAAATAAAAATAAAACAAATCAACTACTTCTAAACATCAATTAGAAAGAAAAAAATAAAATAAAACAAAAGTAAAATAACATAATAATAATACTTATAAAAAGGAAAAGTAAAGAAAAACCTTAGGAGACCAATTATTAAGAGAAAAGAAAAAATATGAACACCACAAGCCTGATCTAATATATATAGATTATATGTGAAGTTTTGTAGAAGATAAAATAGGTAATTTGTAATAAAGTTTTATAGAAAATAAAATAGGTAATTTGTGGTAGAGTTTTATAAAAATTATTTTATTTTCTTTAAATATATCCTTGTCTAATAGAAACTCTTTTTATCAATTAATAAATATTTTTTATATTAATAAATAAATACTGAAATAGTAAAACACTTTACACATTTAATAATAGTATAGATATTTTTAAATAAATATTGAAACTTTAGATTTACTTTTATTAAAAAATTCATAATAATAAATAGATAAATAGGTTAATTTGAATTTTATTAGGTAGATTTTACAGTTTTATAGAGTTTTTTTTTATTTTTTTTTTTTTATAAAAACTCTTTTCATATCAATTAAAATATATTTTTTATATAAATAAATAAATATTGAAATACTGAAACTCTTTACACATTTAATATTTTATTTTCTTTAAATATATTCTTATCTAATTAGATTTAATTTTATTAAGAAACTTATAATAAAAGTTAATTTGTGATAGAATTTTAGAAAAATTATTTTATTTTATATATTAATTAATAAATATTTTATATATTAATAATTCTTGTCTAATTAGATTTTCTTTTATTAAAAAATTCATAATAATAAATAGATAAATAAATTAATTTAAATTTTATCAGATACATTCTTATGCAGGACTTCTTCGAGCCACCAATGGGTTCTCTCCAGCCAGCTTAATTGGCGAGGAAACATACGGTTCGGTTTATAAAGGGTCTCTCAATTGTGATGACCAAACTGTTGTTGCTGTGAAGGTTCTGAACCAACAAGAAGAAGGAGCCAAAAAGTGTTTCATGGCTGAATGCAAGGCATTGAGTAACATTCGCCATCGGAATATTGTCAAGCTCATTACAGCTTGCACAAGCATGGATTACAAGGGCAACGAGTTCAGCGCTTTGGTTTACGAATTCATGCCGAATGGGAATTTAGAAAGTTGGCTACATCCACACCCATCTGACCAGCATCCCTCAAAGAGCCTAAACTTGGTCCAGAGGCTAAATGTTGCCATTGATGTGGCCTCTGCATTGGATTATCTTCACAATCATTACAAAACACCAATTGTCCATTGTGACTTGAAGCCAAGCAACATTCTTCTAGATGATGACCTCTGTGCCCACATAAGTGATTTCGGCCTTGCAAGGTTTCTTTTCGCCTCCACCGGTAATTCCTATCGTGGGCAAAAGAGTTCAATTGGGATAAATGGAACAGTGGGATACGTCGCTTCGGGTAATTTCCTGTCCATTTATCACCCTTTCTTCAAATATTACCTATGCTCGGCTTCATGGAATTGGAGAAATATTAGTTCAATTCTAATTTCAATGATCCAATTCCAACCGAACATAGAGAAACATCATTCAACTTTTGTGACATGGTTATGTCAAGATACGAGTATGAATCTGTCTACATTATATATTTTACATGCTTGAACACCTCTAATTAGTTCTTGTTAACTGCAGAGTATGGTTCAGGTGGGGAGGTGTCAACAAAAGGCGATGTATACAACTATGGAATCATTTTGCTAGAGATGTTTCCCGGGAAAAGGCCCACCAACGGCATGTTTTTGGACGATTTTAGCCTCCAGAACTACACCAAGATGGCCCTCCTAGCACGGGTGAAAGAAACAGTCGATCCCCTACTTGTACCGGGGCAGGAAGATGAGTCGAATAGAGACGAAAAAAGTGGAAGAGGTGACATTGGCGCATTAGAGAACTGTTTGGCAATGATTCTTCAAATGTGAGTCATATGTTGTGCTGAATTGCCAAGATAAAGAATGTATATTACAGATGTTCTTGCAGAACCGCATGATATCAGGAATGCAAATTAAGTATTGGAGCAGAGAAGGAGAAGAAAATACAGAATTAAGTATAGTAGCTTAGAACACATAACATAGAGAGACTTCTGTATATGTTTAATGTTTTTTTGTGAAACAGAAACACTTTTTATATCTATCATTCAAACAAAAAGGCTGAGATGTTTGCACTGACTTGCAGATTTACCTTGTAGGTTTATTGTGTGAAGAAAAAATAGAATTAAATTCGTGGTTTATAGTGTTGGCAAATTTTGACACCATCTGTCAACGTGACTCGAACACGACACGAGTTAAGCGGATTTGGATTGACTTTCAACGGATTCATCTCATTAAACGGGTTGACACGATTAACCCATTTAATTGATCGTGTTGTGTTTAGATTAAGGGGTTCAACCCGTTTAACTATGTGTTTCATAAACAAATTTTTATTTAAGTTACAAAATAACTATGTCTTATAACTTATTCTTTTGTAAATTAGATATTATTTAATGTTTTGGTTGGATTGAAATTTATATTTTTCTAGTATTTATTGTTTAATCGAGTATTATTGATAATATAATATTTTGTTTTAGTAAACAAGTCATTAAAAAGGTTACACATGTAACTCGTTTAATAAATAGGTCGGATTAGTATTCAGAATTTTTGACACGATTATTAAACGGGTAGTATTTGGATTAACTTGTTTAGTATAATACTCTTAGGTTGACACGACACAATTATGATCCGCGAACACTAATTGCCACTAGTAATTTATATTCTGTGGTAACTAACGAAACAGTTATTATGATCATGAATTTTTTTCAACCTAGCGCATAAGCCCCGAGATGCACAGATACTACAATATAATTCAATATAAATGAGTTTTTGTGAACTTTAGTGATTTACTTATTTTTATTGAACTACAGTTACTTTTATTGAAATTTTTAGGGTATTTAGCACAAGCAGTGACAATTGACCTATTTATGAATTTTAAGTCACCGTGGTTATTGAAAAGACTAGATGATTATACTTTTTACTGAATTAATGAATGAACATAAATTTAAGTATGAAATAAATGAAAATTCACCCCATAAAAGTATAGTACTTTTTCATTCATCGATGTTGATTCCTTTGTTGTTTGTAATTGGATCTCCACGTTCATTTGTTTTCTATATTTACATCAGTGTGGACAGCCCAAGACTAAAGCATTACCCCAGTCATTCAGTAGTTCAAAATAAGCCCAACCTAAGGAGGCAATATATATATATATATATATATATATATATATATTTTTAGAGCACGTGTATCGGTCCCACAACACACACTATTCAAGTGAGGAGGCAATTAGCAGTGACAACACACACTATTCAAGTGAGGAGGCAATTGGCATAACTGCTAACGCTATTTTTCTTATTCAACCATGAAAGTAAGAAATTAGCAATGAAGCACGTATACTTCTACAAAGGAGCCGTATAAATAAATTTTTATTATTTTAGACATTTTTCCGACACTTTGCTGGAACATTTAAACCGACACTTTCAAACATTTCTAACACAAGCCTATTTGGTAATCTTGAAAATAATATGAACACATTCTGGAACATTTAAATCGACACTTTCAAACATTTCTAACACAAGCCTAATTGGTAATCTTGAAAATAATATAAACGCATTCTAAAGTGCTAGAACTTTTTTCTTTAAGAAAAATTGACATTATACGCATATGATCACAATTCACAAGCGAATCATTAAATTATATTTATTCATTTAAAATAAAAATACTATTATGACAAAGTACTGGAATAACTATATATATATGATATAAAAGTTTTTTTTTTGGTTAAAGATATATGATATAAAAGTTGTTACAACTTTTAGTATAGTAATTAGAAATGAACTAAAATTTTACAATACTATTACTCAATAGATGTATATAAATAAAAATTCATATTTATATATAGTCATATCCAAGGCGTACCTATATTCTATTTTTTTATAATTTGTGATGTCGAAGTATCTGTGTCCATACTACACAGGATGTTAGGAACATGTTAATACAATTTTGTTTGGAAGATGCTTTTCAGAATGAAAAAGTATAGGGTAAATTATACTAACACCCCACGGCTTGCCTCCATTATACCCCGATACAAGAGTGGTCTGGAATAAAACCCCTAAATTAGCAAAAACCTTAATTCTATTTTGGTATATTTTAGGTCGGTGTTTCCTGATTTTGGTATATTTTATTTAAATCCCAATATTTTCATATTCTGTTCAGCCACAATAGTCTAGATTATATTTCACTTTTTATTATTATTGGGTCTTTAATTTTTAACACAAAATCTTTCATTTTTTGGCAATGAATTGGAGACAATTTCTATTTCTTTGTACCAAATGTATTGGAGGCGAGGGTATGGCTGAGGAAGAAAACAAACATTATAAATATTACAAATATAAATTACAACGGACAATGGTCACAAATATAAATATATATGCCCGAATATGCAAGCGTCACTACAAAATTAAGTATGTATGCATTTCTCTTCTTATTATACACATGCATAATGCAAGTGATGCAATAAAAAGTCCGTCATAATTATTTCACAAAGACAGCGGTCACTTGTTGGAAACAAAACCAAAGTCAGAAACAACTCTGGTTCAAGCGAGTAGATCAGGTGCTGGTTCAAGTGAGTAGATCAGGTGTACTACAGCGTTAATCTAAAATTCTTACGCATCTATAATTGTGTGTGCATGTGAGAATTGTAGACCAAATACAGTGTTGTACCGCATCTGACAGTTTACAAGTCTTACATGTGTAATTGTGTACGTGTGAGAATTGTGGACACTCAAATGCAGTAGTACATCACAGTGCCCTCCAAAAGAGGATACTGGCTCACTTCAAACACACCGGGCCAACATCACAGTGTCGTACAAAAGAGGACACAGGCTCCTACTTCAAACACACCAGGCCAAGTCTGGCGAGAAGCTAATGGTTACTTTCAACCCCCAAACACACACTACCAAAGTCAACACAAACCCACTTTTGCCATCTCCTATTTCTATCAAAGTCAATTTACTAAACCAGGTGATTGCATCTTGACAAACTCACGTTCTAGAAGTGGGAACCACGAGAATTGACAGTGTGTATTGACTTTGACACACAAAATTGTGGTTAGTTTATAAACTTATCTATGACTTGTGCATAAAGCCCACTGTTTCGTTAATTTCCTCTACATTTTGACACTAATTGAGCACATCAACATGTTTCTCAGGCAACTATGCTCATCTTTCTTTCTCATTTCAGTTCTCCTCCTTAACATTCACCCTGCTAAATCAGCAACAACCAACATTTTTGGTCACACAAATGAGACGGATCGCGAAGCCTTGCTTGCCATCAAGAATAAAATACAGGAAGATCTTTCCCAGGTTCTAAGCTCGTGGAGCGATTCTCTTCATTTCTGCAATTGGCATGGAGTCACATGCGGTCAACAGAATCGAAGGGTGACCGGCCTAAACATGTCATTGCTCAAAATGGTAGGCTCATTGTCTCCTTACATAGGAAATCTAACTTTCCTTAGTGTGATCAATCTTGAGGACAACAACTTCCATGGCACCATCCCAGAAGAAATCGGCAGATTGACTCGCCTCCAATATCTTCTTCTAGCCAACAACTCCTTTCATGGGACGATTCCGACTAACCTGACTCGTTGTTCTGACCTTGAAGTCATCGATGTAAACGGAAATGATCTTGAAGGGACAATTCTTGTCGAGTTCAACACCTTGTCCAACCTCCAACAATTGAGTCTTTCCAGAAATCGTTTCTCTGGAAAAATTCCACCTTCATTGGGGAATCTCACCTCGCTGCGCTTTCTCAGTCTATCTACGAACAATCTACAAGGAAGCATTCATGTTGATCTTGGAAAGCTTTTTAACTTAGAAGTCTTCCAGGTGACTTCAAATCAATTGTCCGGTACAATTCCTGAACAGCTCTACAACATCTCTTCCATCAAAATCTTAGCTGTTAACCACAATCTGTTCACTGGACGTCTTCCATCTAGCTTAGGCCTGAATTTCCCAAAGCTCCACTCAATTTTCACTGAAAGAAACAGATTTTTTGGATCCATTCCTGCATCACTAGCAAATGCTACCGGAATTGTGATAATCATTCTTGGAGGAAATGCTTTTAATGGGCCAATACCACTGGATTTGGGAAGCCTTCATGAACTACAAGTGTTACATTTAGGCGGTAATCCACTGCGAACTGACAGAAGCAAAGACTTCAGCTTTCTCACCTCTTTCACCAACTGCACCAAGTTGAGAGTACTGAGTTTATATGAAATTCGCATTGGAGGTATGTTGCCAAATTCTATTGCGAATCTATCCACCACACTCACATCTCTGTATTTGCAAGGGAACTATATATCTGGAAGCGTACCTGCTGGGATTGTGAACCTTGTCAATTTGGTCGTGCTCAACTTAAACAATAACATGCTCACAGGTAGTATTCCATATTCCATTGGAAAACTTACCAGGTTGAATAGACTCAATGTTTCAGCAAACAACATCTCTGGAAAATTTCCAACCTCTATTGGAAACATTACTCGACTAAATGTACTTGCTTTACAAGAAAATTTGCTAGAAGAAAGCATACCAGCTTCATTGGGAAATTGCAGAAACTTGGAAGTACTAAATCTCTCACACAATCACCTCACTGGTCCAATACCTGAACAAATTTTCCATCTGTCTTCCGTTACACGTTGGCTCTACTTAGCTAGAAATCGTTTGACCGGATCATTACCACCGCAGGTGGGCGACATGAAAAATCTTGAGGTGTTGGACATTTCAGAAAACAAGCTCTCTGGTGAAATTCCAAACACTCTTGGGGATTGTTTGAAATTGGAATCCCTCTACGCACGAGGCAATTCCTTCAGAGGAAATATACCTTCATCTTTTGAACTATTAAAAGGCATTCAAGTCGTAGATCTTTCTGGTAATAATTTGTCCGGGCAGATTCCAAGGTTTCTTGGTGAGTGTGTTTTTATTAAAAAGCTCAATCTTTCGTATAATATGTTCGAGGGTGAAGTTCTAAAAGAAGGAATCTTTAAGAACATTAGTGTGATTTCAGTTGAGGGAAATAACAAGCTGTGTGGAGGAATTGAGGCATTGCAATTGCCTGCTTGTCCTGCCACAGTCTCAAAGAAACAAGGAAAGCCTTCTGCTCATGAAAAAATTCTTGCGACTAGTGTTGTGCTAGGTATTTTGTCAATAGCATGTGGTGGTGCTATTCTTTACCTAATCAGAAGGCACAAACAGGAACCCAATTTCGCCTTACCAATGAAGATGATCCAGTATCCAAAACATTCTTATGCAGAACTTCTTCAAGCTACCAATGGGTTCTCTCCAGCCAGCTTAATTGGTGAGGGAACATATGGTTCAGTTTATAAAGGGACTCTCAACAGTTATGAACAAACTGTTGCCGTGAAGGTTTCAAACCTCCAACAAGATGGAGCCAAAAAGTGCTTTATGGCTGAATGTGAGGCATTGAGGAACATTCGTCATCGCAATATCATCAAGCTCATTACATCTTGCACAAGCATAGATTTTAAGGGCAACGATTTCAGCGCTTTGGTTTACAAGTTCATGCCAAATGGGAGTTTAGAAAGTTGGCTACATCCAAATTCATCTGATCTGCATCACTCAAAGAGCCTAAACTTAGTCCAGATGCTAAATATTGCCATCGATGTGGCCTCTGCATTGGATTATCTTCACAATCATTGTGAAACACCAATTGTCCATTGCGACTTAAAGCCAAGCAACATTCTCCTAGATGACGACCTCTGTGCCCACGTAGGTGATTTTGGCCTTTCAAGGTTTCTTTTCGCCTCCACAAGTAATCCAAGTCATGGACAAAAGAGTTCAAGTGGGATAAATGGAACAGTAGGATACATCGCTCCAGGTAATTTGTTGTCCACTTATTATCCTTTCTTCAAATCTACTGAGAAACAATATTCTACTTTGGTGACATGGTGATGTCATGTTAAGATATGAGTATGAAATTAATTACATTATTTCAAAGAAACAAAAGTTAGGTAATATAAAGTTTACAAGGTTCAACCCCTCTTAATTCTTTCTAACTGCAGAGTATGGTTTTGGTGGGGAGGTATCAACACAAGGTGACATATACAGCTATGGAATTGTCTTACTAGAGATGTTTACCAGAAAAAAGCCCACCAACGGCATATTTATGGATGATTTTAGCCTCCAGAACTACGCCAAGATGGCCCTGCCAGCCCAGGTGACACAGATTGTTGACCCCTTACTAGTACAAGAGCAGGAAGATGAGTCGAGAAGAGATGAAGAAAGGGGAAGAGGTAACATTGGTGCATTAGAAAATTGTTTGGCATCGATTCTTCATATTGGAGTCATATGTTCTGCTGAATTGCCAAGACAGAGAATGTGTATCAGAGACGTTCTTGCAGAACTGCATGTTATCAGGAATGCATATTTAAGGATTTGAACAAAGGAGAAGAGGAGATGAAGAATTAAAAGTAGCTGAGAACACATAGCATAGGGAGTGCATGTTCAAACACACTTCTGTATCCGTACAATGTTTTTTTGCGAAACAGAAACTATTTCATATCTATCACTCAAACAAGAAGGTGGAGAAAGCTGCAATGACTTGCAGACTTGCTTTGGAGGTTTATTGTCTGAGTGCAATGCTAGGAAAATAGTTGTTAAGCATTAAAAATGAATTCATAGTGTATGTAGTCAGACTTCTTATGGATAGGATGTAGCATATTTTTCATGACAAAAATTACAATGTTTGCCTAGAAGTTGATAATGTAGTGAGAGCAGAAGTGTAAGAGTAGAAAATCAAAGAATTATCCATAATTATGTTGCTAAAGTTTGCATGCTGACTCTGTGGCAACTACAAATTGAGAATTGTTACCATAATTTGCATACGCGGATGGGGCCGCTGACGTGGGCCCGTGTCAGCAGAACTAACAAACTTGTTAGCTAAGTCATGAATTTTTGTCGACCTCATACATAAGCCCCAAAATGCACTCATACTCTACCTTTCACAATATAATTCAATAAAAATGAGTTTTTAGTGAATTTTAGACATATTTAATAACACTATTTAACACAAGTAGTGACCTATTTATGAATTCTAAGTCATCGTGGTTATTGAAAAGGCTTAGTAATTATACTTTTTACTAAATTAACGAATAAAAATAATTTTAAGTATGAAATAAATGAAAATTCATATTATATGTAATATTTGAGAATTAAAAGTAAGACAATTAATAAATTTGAAAAATTAAAACAAATGAAAAATGATAATATAATTCGAAAGCACTAAGAAAATTATGAATAATGACATATGTAACATGTGTATCACAAAAAAAAGTTACCCTGTATGAGTGAAAAAAATAAATAAAATAAAATTTAAAAAACAAAAAAATAAAATAAAATTTTCCCTCCATCTCAAGAGAGTTTATTTATTGAGTATTGATAATTTATGCACATGTTTTATCATATTAATTGGGGTTAATTGCAAAAATCCCTTGAACTTTCTTTCTTTGGCAAATAACCTCCTAAACTACAAAATACCCCCTTAATCTAAATGAAATATATAATTAGGTCAAGACCATCAACTGCCGTTAACAAAAAAGTGAAATGACCCTTTTGCCCTGTAATCCACTAAAGTTTGATGTGTAATGAAGAAATCAGAATGTCCAATTTCATGGTGCCAACCCAGCCCCACCTTATCACATTGTCTCATCAACCCACCACAGTTAACCCATTCATCACCACCATTTCTTCCAATTAAAACCCAAATCAACACCATGAAGAAATGGAGAGAAAAGGTCATCATTCCAAGCTAAAGAGTGAAACTAGTACCTAATTCAATCGATGTCTCATCTTTACTTATCTCAAACAATGGATTTCTCACTTTCATCCAATTCTACCTCACTAACACAAGTACGTTCACTCCTTGATGCTTCGAAATCACTCGACTATTCTCCAAATTCAATTTCTCCAATTCTCTCTTCCGCTGTCGTGACCAATTTCATCCACTGGAATTTTTTTTTTTGGTGCCAGATTTGATTGTTTCTTTCATGGAGTTTGTATTGGAATAGAGAAATTAGGGTTTTGAATTTTTTTTTTTTTTCCCCATTTTTAGACAAAATTATCTCATTCGGGTTTTTATTTTTTCGAATGAAATTGAAGGTAAAATGGTGGTGACGGAGTGGCAGAGGTTGGGGTTGAGTGAAACACAGGAGAGAGAAGCAGTGGAGGTGTGTGAAAGAGAGAGGGAGGGGGGGGGGGGGGGGGGGGGGGGGACTGAAGGAGGCGATGGAGAGAGATCCAGGAGACAAAACAGCGATTGTGAGCTGGTTATTAAGGACCAAAATCTCCTTTAGTCTTGAACCCATGTAGCCAAAAACTAAATGGGATTTAGTCACGATCAATCATACGTGGCAAGCACTCGAGAATCCATGGGATCAAAAGAACATGCCCATATTCAATGGGACTAACAAAGACCAGCTTACTGCAACTTTCCTCCAAATATAAGTTCTTTAGGAAACGAAGTACAAGAAAGGGAGTACATACATTTATGGCAACAACACTTGGAGAGTTCTAGACATCAATGGGTGCACTGGGGAAGAACTGGACTTGATCATCTTCAGTTGCTTCAAACTAGATTAGCAACTCTTCCTGCCAACTTTAGTGAAGTTGAATTCTTTCCCATCAAATGGCTGGAGAACCACATGCACACACACACACACAGAGGTGAAAATGTGAGGAAGAGAGTTTTTTGAAGAAGAAGATCGATTACAGTTTTTAAATTTGCAATTAACAGTCAGAAGGGCCTTTTTTTCTTTTAAAGTATCATAACTAGTCACGTGACAGTCAAACCGCATTAAACCATTAGCTTCTCAACGGTACAATGACGGCAAGGGTTTTTTTTTTTTTTTTGTATAGAACGGGATAATCAAAGGTGCTCATTGTCTAAATAGTATTTCAAGGGGGTTTCTTGCTCAAACATGCATATCATGTTTGTTAATTGTCCCCATTCTCTTGCACTTTGACTAAAAAATTCATGGTGCACTAAAGTATCAAAAATATCAATTCCTCTATATAATCTCCCCCCCCACATATATATATATATATATATAATGGTTACCATGAGAAGAAACTCCTCAACCATTTCTCATTTTTCTCTTCCCCAATGAAGCTACAACAATAATATAATGGCTTCAAGCATCATTATGATGAAAAGATCATTTCAGGCACGACATGGTCTCCGCTCATACTACAAACCCAATAAATGGTCATCCTCAAACAAGAACTCTTTTTTTTTTTTTTTTTTTTTGGAAGTTAAAGCAATTACGCACACACCCTACCTTCACTGAGGTTCGAACCCCCGACCTCTCCCTTTGGAGAGGAAGGGGTGATACCACTGGGCCAATTGGTCCTTTGGTCTCAAACAACAACTCTACTAATGCCCAAAAACATCCTCAACTTCCTTGCATTCTCATAATTTCCAAAAGCTACCATTATTTTCCAAAATCAATTATTCTCAGCATCACCAATATCAATTCCTGCGATTGGGATTGAGATTCCTTTTCCGGGGAGCTTCTGCCCGACGTGGGGAGGGAAAAGCAGAAGAAGAGAGAGGTGAGGGGAAGGGGTGGGTTGGACACTGCAGACATTCATGTGGCAGACGAAGAGGATTACATGAGCGTGTGCTCACTTAGAAAGGCAATTATTTCTTAAGTTTGATTACTATTTATCCTTTTTTTTTGAGTTTAAGGTCACCCTAAAGCAAATCTTTTTTTTAATTTTGATCACCAAAATTTAATTTAATTTTCCCTTTTTATGGATAAGGTAGAGTTGCATACATTTGCCAATGAATATCTGACCATCAAGTAACTTAGGGTTCAGATTCTTAAATCAAAGGGTGAAATGGTAGGAAAAGGGTTAGGATCAAGGAACTAGGGTTCAGATTCTTAAATAAGAGGCTGAAAATAAGAGAAAACCTAAATGTAAGGGAATTCATCACCTACTTATGTTGAAATTTACATATAAATTCGCACAAATGTCGGCAGATTATTTCAATTGGAGAATACACCATAACAATTCATATATAGAAAGACCAGAAAGAAATGAGTCGATTCCCATAAATCAATCAGCAATAGATTTTCGATAGAGAACCATAAATTAACAGAGAACAGAAATACATGAATCCACATTACATAGGGGTAGGAGACAAGAAGGAAGAAACTACCAGAGGAAGTGTCGTCTCTGTTGAAGAATTTATCGTATAGGAGAGAGAAACTGCAAGCTCGTCGGCACAAGCTCGGCTGTCTTCTTCACGACCACGGACTCATGGTGGTTGTTGGAACTCTCGGGAGATATAGAGAGAGAGGGTGAGTGCCGCGAGTGTAGAAGAGAGTGCGAAATGGCAAACTTAAACTACATTTTAACTGGGACTTATAAAATATTTAACTATGAAAAAAATTCAAAGAACTGAAAATAATTTCTAAAGAATTATAAAAGATAGTCTTTTTATAACTAAGTTTTAAAAAATTAAATTATTTTTTGTACAATTTTTTATTTCTGTTCTCTTAATTACGAACTAAGTAAAGTCAAAAATTACAAACCATTTGATTTTTTTAATAAATGAAATGGTATAATTACCTTTAAAAAAAAAATTCTGTATATAAAAAATGCGTTAAAAAAATTATTAATAATTACCTTAAAATTACCCCTCAAAAAGTAGAATATAAAAGTACTTTTTTTTTTTGACAATTTTTTTGGTATAGTGTGGCCATAATTTGATTGTTTTGAAATTATATTGTAAATTCATATATTACTTTAAACCGCCGAGGGCTATAACACAATGTATCTCCTCTAAAGTAAAGATTATGGTTCAAATTCATGAAAAATAAAGAACTTCTTGTTTAAGAAATAAATAAATAAATAATTGATTATTTTGAAATTATATCTCACTTTCTACCTCATTTGGATGGTGTTACTTGATAAATTTTACCTCCCACTTCTGTGCCATAAAAGAACAAGGTTAAGTGAAAAAAAAAACTCTATTTATTATTGATATAGTGCATATTAATTCTGGTAAAAAAATTTCCTATATTATCAATTTGGTACAAATAGAATCCTATGTAGTATAAAATGATGATAATAAATTAATAATTATAAATACCGGCCATATAAAATGATCCTTTTATCTAAATTTGTGTAAAATTATATTTCTTTGACAAAAAATAAAATAAATCTCAAATTATATAAAATACGGATAACCTAAACTTGAATTTAAATTAGAAGTAAAACCAAACATTCCCGGACCTCCATTACCATCACCCATCACCGCCTAACCCAACCTCCATTATCACCACCCATCACCGCCTAGTGCAACCACAATCACCCTCTGCAACAAAACTGATCGGAGCGTCAATTCAAACCCCAGACCCACTGTTCGCCGCCACCAAATAGAAGCAAAATCCAATCAAAATTAAACAAACTGAGAGCCATGTTTGGAGCTTTGTTGATGTGTGTTAGGGATGGATATGCATATCTGTATGTGTATATACTATATATATATATATATATATATATATATATAGATATATTTTTAGAGTTAATCTTCTCTGGCCATCATCAACCCATCATCACCTCCAATTGAAAACCAAAGCTGCTTGTTGCTTTTTCCCGGCCCACACCAACCCATCATCACCTCCAATTACCCAAACAAAGCTTTTTTGCCCAAATATTCAAACCCAATAATTGTGCACAACTCAAGGCCGCGTCGGATTCCCGTAGCCTTGGCTGTCTGGAGAGAAAAAACATCAACCGGTTCAAATCTAAGAAATGAGAAGAAACCATTTTCAGAAAATGGTACCTATTTGCATATCTCGTAATAAATATGATTAAATTTAAAAAGTAACGTATCATTTCATTTTTCAAAAAGGCAAAATCAAGAACTAAAATAATTCCTCATTTAAGTTTTTTTCTTTTTCTTTTTTTTTTTTGTAAATCCGAATGAAATTTTTCGAAAACACTCACTTTTCAAATCATAGATTTTATACAGAAGACCACAACAGAGGATATCTGTGTGCATAGGTGTGCGTTTGTGCTGTGTGTTAAAAGGGAGAGAGAGAGAGTTACAATCAATGAGAGTTACTTTTTTTTTTCTTTTTTTTTTTTTTTGCGGCAAAGCAAACTTGTGATTGATGGGCTTTATATCTGTTTTCTTGCAACCTGTTTCAGATAATAAACTACAAGGGCAGATATTGTAAAATATTGAATGTTTAATATATATATATATATATATATATGATCGGTGTGATATTGCAATTTCTAAACTATTGTTTCTTTTTACAATAAATTCTTCTGTTGTTTGAGAATATTTTGCTATAAAGCCCTAGTCTTTGCATCAGGTTGTACCCAAAAATTCGCAAATTAACATCAGCAAGTTGTATATCAAAGATTGATACAGATCTCCAGTTGCTGCTTGCAGACATTTCTCCTCCAAGCCACCAAAAACTCTTTCTAAAAACTTCTCAACAATTGACACAAACTCTTCCACCCTTTCTTCTTGGGGCAGGTGGCCACTGGAGAAGATATATATGTATGTATGTATGTATGTATATATTGTATAATATAACAAGAGAGAGAGAGGGCCGAATTGGGTTTAGAAGGGATTATATGCACAAATAGGTGGGGTAAAATGAAAAATAAAAGGGTAAAATGAAGTTTTTAATTTTACTTTTTGTAAAAAAATGGTTAGTTCTGGACTTGTATATACATTTTTAAAAAATAAGAATTAATTTTGTACAAAGTGAGGTTTTTTACACTTAACCCAAAAAATAAAGAAAATTTGATTAATAAATATATATACAGGTTGTTAGAAGTTATATTTATTCCACGATTTAGATGGGAAGTGAAAGCGTATAAATGAATAGTTCTGCATTTAGATAAATGGACTTTTTAGAACAGTTTAATGCCCACCCATCAAATATAATTTTTTTTTTTTTTTTTTTCTCCACTCAAATATAATTTTTAGAACGCATGACATAAAAGTGTTTTTTTTGGTTCGTGGCTCAAAAATAAATAAAGCTAACTCGCATGAAGGTCTGTGATAGGACGGGACCATTTCTCAATTCCTTGACTTGTAAAAAGTAAAACAATGATAAGCTTTATCTTTTCACGATCACTTTCAATATTGGTGAGCTCATCTCTGACAAGTTTGCTTAATGCTACTGACATTACACCACCGATAGACTCTAATCATAGCTCTGCATCTGCTATTGCCAAATAGAAAACATCCCACAACCTAGCTATATAGGTCAAAGCAAGTTCAATTGGAAACTTGCACCAATTTGCTATAGTTTGTCAAAGTTTAGTAAAAATGTCTTGTACCCCTGTCCTTCAGCATATTTTGGGTATGGAATAGTCCTTAACGCGTAAGGTCTCAACTTCTGAATTCGGAGGATGTATGTATCATTGCTCTAGAAGTTCGGAAGATATATTATTGTTCTAGAAGTTATCACATCTCTTGAGTTTCTCATGTTCAGAAGAGACAAAAAAAGAAGAAGGTAATGGGTATAAATGCCATATCAAATACAAACACTGCCTCTTACAAATCTTGGTTGGAGCCAAATTGTTGAACAAGATGGCAATTCGATGTTCTGTCAACTCCACACTTTCGTGACTGAGGATATGAATAAAAAAAAAGAGGAGGATAAACACAGATTGTAGGATAAACACAGATTGTGGACTAAAAGAACCTTCTTCCCCTACAGATTTAACGTTTGGATCTCTGTTGTTGCTGCAACACCACCAATGCCAATTGAGTATAGCCTCAGTTGTGATATCTAGATGCCAAGAAAACTTGCGGTGCGGCACAGGAAGAAAAGAACCAAAATTTCCTGGTTGATCCCAAGAAAATGAGATATAACAGTTCTGGAAGAAATGCAGTTTGTAATCTCGCCTAAGATCACGATGACTGGCAGCCTATATGAATGAAACCAACACTACAAAAGAATCCTGGTTCTGCCCTTTCAAGGAATATGAAAGAAAACATACTGGATATTGCTAATTTCTAACAAAACTTTCTAACATTCGTCGCAATAATATGGTCACTTGGCTATGACTAACTTGATGCAAAATAAAGTTTCGAAAGGCTGAACAGGATACATCATACTCAAACAAACCAACACTCGCTCGATCTTGAGAATTGTAAATGAATAATTCTATTCAAATTAAACTAAAAACAAAAAAAAAAAAAAAAAGTTTTCAACTTCTCTTCTTAACCAATCATTACACCAATCATTTTACAGGCAAATAGTGAAGCTCGTCAACCTGAGGCGGTCTGATCAATCAGTTCAGCTCAAATGGATGAATATATTGTAAACGCAGTCCCAATATATCCCTTTCATAAACAACCAGATAGGCTAGTTGTAAAGCCACGGGACATTAACATGAATAGAACATAAATTTTCCCTGCAAAGGAACATTATAGTGATAATGCTATCCTCAAGAAAAAATAACATAATCTCAACCAGCTTCATCGATTCCATAATCACCACAAATATGTGATTTAGGTGCGTGCATAATTGTTTTTTTTTTTTTTTTGATAAGTATTTAGGTGTGTGCAGAATTTGAATACAAACAACCACTTCCCTCCCCAAAATCCAAGTTTTTGTGTGTTCAGAAGGAGCCGGTGGCACGAGGGGCTCTCACATGAGCTCGCGCACAAAGCCCTTCAATTGGGAGGCTCCAAGCCCTTTGATCTAATGGGCTGAGAGCACAAGCCAATGGTGATAATGATGCCATTATAGACTTGCTCTTTATTAAAATCGTTAATTTTGGATCACTAATGTGTAAGGCCCTGTGGCACCATGAAGTTACCAATACAATCACCAACTCTTGCCAAGCCAACATGAGTTATTAGGACAGTTCCTGGAATTCGTAGGACGACAACTTCAAGAATTCTGACAAATTCTAAGAGTGATAATGCCCTTGTATTTCGGTCATATAACTGCTGTCTAGTCCTCCAAAAAGTAAAGATGAAAAAGAACGGTTAAAATATCACTTTCACATCAACCTCATCTAGACATTTTTATACGACCTTCCCCAACTTCCTCTTCCCGAAATTGCAGTATCTCAATGTATCTAGATGATTAATTCCAGTCATTAAACCTTCAGTTATTCTGATAAGCAATCCCATAACCTTACATTCTATGAAAAAAGAAATCCAGTATGAAGAGTGAACAAACTTGAGCTTATACTATAGAACAGCTAATTACAACTCAAGTGTATAAAGAACCAAGAACTATACATGTTGCACCACACATAAAGTTCCGCAAGTATCTAATGTGATGATTCAATGCATGCCAAACATATCCAAGTATGCTTGCTTTCTTTTTAACTTTGTCAAAAAGATATCGTCCTCTGCAACAATTCACAACTTTGTCACAGCATTAAATAAACCATGTCAAAAGGTACTCAATCAGGCTTCTAACTTATATTTGTAAATTATTGCTTCCTATCTCGATATCACTACTTTGCCACAGTACCATACCAATAATGTGAGTCATAAACCCCAGCATTTTCTCACTTAAATGAGTTGAAAATGACAATTTTTTAACAATTACAAGTCCCCCAAGAGCATCTCACTTGAATCGCTTAAACTTCATCATAATCTTCAAGGTTTAACATTTATTACTCCATTCAGGGATCTCCTCAAACCCTAAGCTAAAACAGGCCAAAATACCTCTCCACTAAGAATCACCTGTCTCTATGATAAAACTCTGTAAAGCAAGATAACGATTAAAAAAATGTCTAATTCCTTCGATAAAGACCAATAAGAAATGTAGAAATCCCAAAAAAATTGTGCGTGTGAAGTTTATCAGAGCAACTTCTACTCAAACATCATTCTAGATGTTCATCGAAATCCCACTTGAATTTTATACTGGTATGAAATCATAAAATTGTTATCCATTATAAAATATAGCATACCAAGAAGCTTATTGCCAGATTTCCACAGGACACTCAAACTGTTACATAATAAAAGCCGGGAGATGTTCTTTTTATGAGATCTCTGTTCATCCACCACCCAGGTAGAGTCAGGAAGAACTACCACTAAGCATCAGTATTTCTTACATGACAATTCCAAGATACTCTCTTTTCAATTACATAACAAAGTGCTAAGGACATGTTTCTTGAATCTTTCAACATTCACTTGTGGAAGATCTTATCCTTGAAACCATCCTAATTTCTGATCCCATATTACAGTAGATAAATTGAATGAACCAGTAAAGCTTTTGTCTGAAGGCCTTCCACTCCCTAAATCATTCATGATAACACTACAGGGAGGCATCAAGCTAAGCACCAATAACTCAATCCTCCAAAAGGTATTGCTCCCCAACTCCATGGACCTGTTTATAGATCTGAGATGTGCTTTATGATTGCAGAGCAAACAATAGACAAACTCACCTTAATAATATGACCCTGAATCTCTGCCACTTAAGTAGCCATCATTTATGCGACGACTTGTGTAGACAGGAGAGTATGAGATTGCATCCATCTGACCAAGAAAAAAAGGAACAAAATGAGGAATTCTGGAAGCAATACCTTAGAAGAAAAAGGAATTGTTTTCAAGAGCACAAGTATGAGGAACACACATCTGATCGAGAAGGCAAGTAATCCCTGGAAGATTGATCCCTAGCATAGCTGGAATAGAGCCCCTCCACATCCCCTCTTCTGATCTCCTCTGCAAGAGAAGAAATTATGAAGCAACATTTAAATAAAGATTAGAAGGGAGGAATAATAGTAAACAAGTTATTTACCAATACCTCTTTGGTACCCCATACTTGATGTGCCTGTATCATACATTTCATGAGAACGCCTTGAAGCCCCTCTGCTGATCTCCTCTGCAAGGATTAAAATTATGAAGCAACATTCAAAATATCAATCATCAGAGAGAAAAAGAAAAGAGAAGAGTAAGAAGCTATTTACCAATACCTCTTCTGTACCCCATACTTGATGTGCCTGTGTCATACAGTCCATGGGAATGCCCTGAAGAATTCCTACCCCCGTCATACACTGAACGAGAGCCACGCCTCAGCCTAAAAAAGTTGGATTAACAATCAGCAAAAGGAAGAAAGCATCTAAAAATGATGTCCAAGGGACTGATCAACCTTGCAGAGTCACTCCCATAAGAAACTTCACCATACGGCACGCGAGAATTGCTACCCCCATAGTCAGAACGGCCTCTTGACTGCCTAATTGATGATTCAGCATGACGAGGATGAGCTTCCTCCTAGAAGAATCGGGGTAAACTTCATCAGTGCTAAAATCACAACAAAACCAGTAAATAAGGCGAGCAAAACCTTAAAAAATAACTCACAATTGCTGAATAGGAACGCTTTGAGCCAGAAAATGAACCGTAATCACGGCTATGGCCCTCCCGATAGCTTGAGGGCTGCTCAATATATCTTTCATAGCCATCATCATCATCATCATAAAGAGGAGACATTCTACGAGTAACACCATGAGAAAAACTCCTTGGGGAACTTTCCAAGTACCCAGATCCATGTGAAGGGTAGGCAACTTTGTAAGAATGCCTCTCCGTATGAGATCTAGCAAAATCATGTGGCCTAGAAAAAGATTCATCTTCCCGCATGTACTTTTTCTGTAAGCTGCTCTTTCCATAAGACAAAACTGTTCCAAAGGAAACAAATAAAAAAATAATAATAAATAAGAGAGTGTTGAAAGAAAATTTATGCACTTGCTATCTTTACGACAAGGAATGACATACCAGGAGACCTTCTGCTGAAGGATCTTTCTGGGGAAGGAAATCTCCTCCTGCTTCCAACTCTATCAGGAACCACATCCATGATTGGGTGTCTATCCCTTGAATCAAGTGATCGCCTAAGACCTCCATCATATGCACTACGACTTTGAATGCTTCTCCCACTACGGCCTGTGAACCTCCAAGAATCCATGTGAGGCACGCTAGAGCCCCATGAAGTTTTGACACCCCGAAGACCTCCATGTTCAACTGGATAACCTCCTCGAGCATGTTTAGAAGACTTACCTCTCTGCCGCGGCCTAGATAACCTTGCCCTAACCTTCACCTACAAATAATTCAACTATTTTTATGAAAGCCAAATTAATCCATCATCACTTCAAACCATACCAAAAATTTTGATGACATTACCAAACTAAATTGAAGATAAGGAAGCATAGAAACCTTGCACAATGTTTCACGACCTCCAAACGAAAATTAAATTATTTCTATTTTTAAAAAAAAAAAAACTGAACACGGAACTTCTTTACTGTAGAATATAGAAAAGTCCTCTTCCCTTTAAAATGTCCAAACCAACACAATTTGATGGGCATAGGGAAACAAACAATGGGATACCTTCTTGTCTCCATAACCAATCTCAGAATTATTAACACCATCAACACAAGCCACTGCAGCGTCATGTGTATCAAATGTTATAAATCCAAAATCAGTTCTTTTTGCAGCTGGCATATTTCGAGCAAGTTCAATCTTTTCAATCCTCCCATACTTTTTGAGATGCTCCTCGACGCGATCCTCATCCCAAGTAGAAGGTAAACCATCAATAAATACAATCCTGACCTGAAAATTAAATAAATAAAATGGTAAGCACAGAAACTCTTCAGGCTATTCCAAAAGGTTTTATGGTTAAATGTTAAGTATACAGCAATGCATTTTAGCAGATATAAATCTCTAGGCACAGTAGAGAAGCTCTCTATTACAGATTAAACATAGAATGCCAAGATTGAAATTTAACGCATTTAGAACGACAAAAGGAACTCAGTGAATTATCTGAAGCCCCAAATTGAAGAATTCATTTCAAACCTTGGGAAGACGAAGCTTATAAATTAAAAAGAGTCAACTTTTAGAAACAAATTGAAAATTTCGTGGAGACATATAAATGCTTCATTCAGTGTAAAAATAATTTTTCCCTCTCAACAGTTGAAAAAGTAGCATTACAATATGTACGTTAGGAATAAATAGAGATAAAATCCAAAAGAGAGATTATATTCACTCCAATTTTCACCAAATGCACTCCATTTGAAATATTTTAATAAATGAAATGACAAAATTACTCCACAAAACTAGAGTGCAATTGTACTTTTTTTAATAATTTTTTTATACATAATAATTTCTTAATGAAATGTGAATGTGTTTTTTAAGGGTAAATTAATCATTTTTTAACAAAAAACACGCGGAGTGCAAGTGGATAAAAGGGGAGTAAATATCATCACCCAATCCAAATGTCTCAAATTAATAAATAGCAGAACCAATTATGGGACATACAGAAAAGTTTCCCTCCATCAAATTTTGTCCAGGAGTTGACTTCTGCACAAAATGCCCTCTGCACTACAAGCTAATTTTAAAGAATGCTAAAATACCAAAACTAGAATGATTGCTTTGCTCTTCAGTTTCCCATTTTGGAATCTTTAGGCCATTAGTTAACATCAATCTTTTATGTATGTCAACATCCATCATCATACATTACGCAACAAAGCTAGGAAGCATGGATAATTACTTCCCTAAGGTTGTCATGGAATTATCAAACACGTCTGTCATGGATATGCTCTGGATAAGGCTGGACAAGTGTACGATATGGCTGGGAAGTATTTGAATTTTTAAAATATTTTTTTTAATATCAAATACAGCTGGGATTTGTCCGGATATATTAGGGATACGGATGGAAACTTCAGGGATACGGCTAAGTAAATTTGTAAATATTTTTTATAAAAAAATAATTAAAAAAATAAAAAAAATAAAAAAAACGGAGGCCTGATTCTAATGCAAAAAAAGTTTGTAGGTTAAAAAATAATAAAACAAAAAGGGCTTAAAAGCCCAAATTGGTACTCTCGGCACTCATCAATGCATAATCAAAGAGAGAGAGAGAGGAATAGAGAGAAGAAGAGAGATCCGCCGACCGTCAGTCTAGCCATCTACTAACAGATATGCAGTCATTAAAGTTCTAGGGTTAGGGTTTTTCTTCCAACATCTTTTTCCTATTCAATTTATGGTTAGGGCTTCTATCTTTTACTCTTTGTTTTCTTTATTATCTGGCTATTATCATCGTCACCCTCTCTCCATCTACATTAACCTTTGTTTCATCGACTTAAACCCCCACCCCTCTCTCTCTCTCTCAAAAACTACGTTGTTTCCAGAAGAACCCATCACTTTCACGCTCAATGACAACATGGATGAATCATGAACGTTTACTTGGTAAGATGCTTGATTGTATATGTCATGAAATGAACTGCATGTTTTATCTAATTGTCATTTTATTTATGAACATATTGGTGCTTGCATTTACATTCATAATATTATAGAAAACTAATCAAATTTTATTTTTTTATATATTAGTAATATATTATCATTTTATTGACATATTCTTCCCATTCTGTATCTTGTTTATCTGTGTCATGTCGTATTCGTATCCATGCATGAAAGCAACTATGTGATGAATAGAGAAAACAGCCTCTGAACAAGTGCATGTGGTTACAATGCCACACATATCCAAGAAGTAGCACAAAGGCATTGCTAAATGAAGACATCAAATGGGAGGCCTTTTTGTTCTCAAGCATGAAAGAGACTACGAGTAACAAAAACTCATATGGAAGCACTAGAAATTCTTTAAAAAAGAAAGACAAGACAAAAACATCTGAGGAATTAACACCCTCAGAAAAATTTTTATATCTGCTGATCCTTGAAGGCCTATCAACACATTATAAGTCCATTAATACTCCTCCTTCCAATATAAAACTAACTGTTGCCTCCATGTGTCCATGAACAAATTTAGGACCTCAAGAGCAGAATAACAAAAGAAGAATAAAAAGAATCAAGAAGAAAATGACAAAAAATAATAATAATATACATCTAAAGGGGAGGTTGATAAACATGGGTTGATTAATTTGCAGTCCAACATGAACATGGAACACAAGCGCACAAAAGAAGGGGATTTATATTATATATAGATAGCTCATATGCAAAGAAACAATACAATTAGATGAATAATTATATGCAACATGTACACACCTGTGCCATGATTTCATCATCAGGTTCAATAAAAGTGTCTGCAAATGCAACCCTAGCTGTTCGATCTGTGCCAAACACAACATCCCTCTTCTGCAAGCGCTTGCAAGCTTCCAAGGCATCTGCTCTGGAAGAAAAATCGAGAAAAGCAAATCCCCGATTCATACCCTCGTTTTTAGTATCTTCGACCAATGTCAACTCTTCAAAATCTTCAACACCAAAATCAGCAAGCTTGTCCTTCAGCTACAAAAGCAAAATCGTCATGATCCAGCAAAAGAAATATAAAGGAACACGCTTTGTCAAGGATTCGTTTGGTTAGGACGGAAAAGATTTTGGAAAGTGAAAGTACTGAAAAATGAAATGAAATAAAAGAAAATGAGTTTTCTTGTATGCATTTTGATACAATGACTTTTTTTCAAGGAAAGTTGAAGAAAATTCTATTTTATAGTTCGGAAAACTTGAAAGTTGAAAAAAAAAATTACATGCCAAAAATGTCTTTATTCATAATAAAGCAAAAGTAATTTTACGTGGGTTTATTTTAAAACAACCATCTTTTACTACTTTCTTAGAAAATAAATAAAAAATATATAAAAACTCAACATTGCCTAATCCATTTTTAAATAGTAAATAAACCTAGACAATGGAAAGTCTCACCGAAAATATGTATTACTTAGTCCTCATATCATGTTAAAACTTCAATCTTGTTGTGATATATATGAAAAACAAAAAAGAAAAAGAAATAGTTGCAATGAATTATTTCGATACCAAAACAAATTTGAAATCTGTTTTAATTGAAACTGGAGAAGAGAAGTGGTGGACAGAAACGCTAGGCATGATAGGAAAGGAAAATTTGAAAGGATTACTTTCATAGGAAAGTAATCCTTTCTTGTTTTTTATACAAGAAATGTTTTTGAGAAAATTAGCCAGCAGGGATCCTAATTTCCTTTCCCAAAATTTTTTCATTTCCTATTCAAATTCCAAAGAAGTTCAGAAATTTTCTGTTTCTTTTACTTTGCGGTAATTTCCAACTATTCAAATGAAGCGTCAAAGCCTAATTAAAGACCTGGACTGAAAACCAGAAAGCCAGTAGTGTTTCAGAATACTTACAATCTCCTTCGTCCATTGCTTGCATATGTTACCAACAAACAATGTATCACTGTCTTGACTCGGCGCTACGCCACATTGCTTCCCATTAACCTGGCAAAAAAATATCATTCATATACTACACTGAAAGGAGATGAATATGAGATATTGACACAAAATACATAAAATGCTTATAATGTATTCCCATGCAATTATACTCTTTGGTACAATAAAAGAAAGTCGTGTCTCACTGTTGTAGGCATGTTACACATGAATCTAATAGCGTTTGAGAAGGTCAGCCAGAATTCCAAACTAAAATATAAATGTACGAGTATGACACTTGCCAGACAGAAAGCAATTTTTCTTTACAAGTGTGTTATCCTCAAGTCATATTTTATCATCTTGTGAAAAATCTATTTGGGGGGGTGGGGGGAGGGAAGGAACACATAGATGTGATTGGATGGCCATCCACAACTATAAATGTCGCGCTGGTCAGATATTGTCTCCACAACAAGCGAATGGCAGGTGGCACACACACAATACACATGCGAAAAATGAAAGGCAATTACTGCATTGGTCCTCGTTAATTTAAGGGTGCGAGGAGGGGTAGACTGGATAAAACCTAAGGTTTGATATTATTTGCACAAAGTGGGTCACCGGACTTGAACTTATGCTCACGCTAAACCACCCGAAAACTTTAATCATTTAAAAGGGAAAACTTCAGGAAGGTTAATTTGAAATTGAGTAAGCTAGTCCTTGAAAACAAGGTCAATATGATACATTTGTTAGCAGAATGGCCTTTTGGAAAAGTACGTCTGAAATGAACAATCTTATTAGCATGTAAGTTGCATTGATTGATCAATCTTCACATAATAAAATATATAGTTAGGGTAGTCTAGAAACTAGATAAAGTTACACGTGCTAAACATATACAAAGGCTACCCTTGATTGTTAAATTGAAGTGAGTTTAGCATAGCTAGACAGGATCACAACAGATAAATAGCAACAGGACATTTTCTTCCATTTTGGAGAATTAAGAAATTTATTCTGGTTGCTAGCATGACAACAAACAACGGAGTAAGTTCTCCAATATAGAGTTCAACAGCACCAAATGCAAAGAAAATGAAGATAAAACATATAGGAAGTTGATTGATACCACTGGATGCTTAAGTTCATTGACAGCACGCCTGGCCTGCTCAACAGTTGCAAAACGTATGAAAGCAAAGCCCTTGTTCTTCTTAGTTATTGGGTTCTTTAAGAGCCTCAATTCAGTGATTTTACCCACCTGACTAAAAACCTCTCCTAGGTCCTCCTCAGTGGCATCTCTATCTAATCCCCCAACAAAAACCTCAAATTCCTTCCTTTTCCGCCTCTCTTTGACCACGTCATGATGCTCGCTTTCAAACTCATCTAGCTCCACTCCATGTTCGTCCCTGACACCCTCCTTGCCCATTTCTTCCTTCCGCAACTCCTCGTAACCTTCCATCATATCCGCCACGTTTTCCCCATCTATACTGTCCTCACTACCTTCCATATCCCAGTGCCTTTCCATCCCAACATTTCCACCGCCATGCTCTTCCGCATCAGTGTGGATGTCATTATCTTCAAGTTCCAACCTTTCCGATTCGTCCAACTCTCTAGGAACAAATTCCTTGTATTCATTTTCTGCTGATGCAAAAAAATAATAAGAACCCCCAATTATCACAAAGAAACAGTTTCTTTAAATAAAACATATAACGCAACAATTGGAGCTGGCTCAAAGGAAAATACTTATAATTATGTCAGTTCTTCAATTCACACTTACATGTTCAAGTATTGAGAACTAAAACTACCCCAATATCATCCCAGAGCATAAGATCACTACTTAATAGGCGGTTCAAGTAATGGTTGACCAGCTATATTGCTAAAGAAGAAGAAAGAAAGAAAATTTCATTTAAAAAAAAAAATTGATTTCTAACTACCTTAAAGGAAGTTTTGGGGATAACGAAATGTAGCGGAAAGAATTCAAATTTTTTAATTTCAAATTTTTATTATTCAAGACCCAACAAACAACAGAACTCCAGGAAAGATAATCTAATTGTGAGTAATGCTACTCAAGCCGAAAAGGAAAAGTTCCAATTAACACATTTATGTCTATTAATAATTTCCATCCTGTGTTGATTAGTCAGCTTATTTTTCTGTTCTGAAAAGTATTTTCAGATAAATATTTAGTAACTTAGTTTGAATACGACTTATTTATCACAGGGAAACAAAAACTTTAAAAATCCCCATTTCATCTTTCAGGTTCCTCTACATTTGTTAGCAACCAAATACAGCCTAACTAAAACCAATTCCCCTTCATTTTCACAGGTTTTCAAAAATATCATGCTATAAAAGACTAGAAAACTCAAAAAAAAAAAAAAATTGAGAATAGAAAACTCCTTTTCATCTTTCCGTTTCTCTACAATTCTTAGCAACCAAACAGAGCCTAATTTAAACCAATTACCCTCAGGGCTTTCATTTTAAAGACACCCTTTTAAAAAACATCATGCTATCAAAGACTATTTGAAAAAAATAAATTAAAAAAGAAAACTCCTTTTCATCTTTCCGTTCCTCTGAATTTCTTAGCAACCAAACAGAGCCTAATTTAAACCAATTCCCCTCCCGACTTTCAATTCGCATGTACCCTTTTCACAAACATCATGCCATCAAAGATTATCTTGCTAGGGTTCTCAAAATTTCAGACCACGAAACACTTAATCAAGAAAAAGAAACAAACTTCACACACATGCATATCTACATACATGAATATATATATAGAGCGAGAGAGAAAAAGAGAAAGTACCTCTGATAGGGGTTTTCTTCTTAAGGGCGGTGGCAGTGGAGGGTCGTTTCACTGCGCGCGGCGGCATAATTTAGGGATAACAGTTGCGGAGCTCCTGTATAGGATTGAACTATATATATATATAATTATATATATATGAGTGTATATAACTCTATGGAGGACTATGTTAGCCGAAAAAAAACACAAGAAAAGGAGGTCTTCAGAAACAGCGACACTGAATCAATTTGCAGAAATTTCTTTGTACTTGGGTTGGAAGCAAGATATCTAAGTCGGTGTTAGAAGAAACTAATACGCAATTGCTGGAGTATCAATTTTTTTTTTCCTTTTTTTTTTACCTTCCAAAAATAAAAAAATTGAGATTGACTTTGACTGGATTTGCGTGAATCTGACGCCGTCCAATTATATTGATGCAATTGAACACGGGTGCACCGGAGAAAATTCCCTTTTTTTCTTTAAAAAAAAAACAACAACGACGACAACCTAGGTAAGTAGGTCTAATTTTATGATTTAAATGTTCCGTGTATCGTAGGATCGATACACGTGCTTTTCCAAAAAAAAATAAAAAACATAACCATGTAATATGTTTGATATTAAATGAGCATGGTCGGTTAAACAAGTGTTTAATATTTTTTTTAATTAAAAAATGAATATAAAATACGAAAATAAAATATTAACAATTTTAAAATTACTAAATCTTTCATTTCATATCAATAAATTACACAATTAACTTCCTTTAGTTTTCAAAATAATACCATCAATTGACAAAAAAAAAAAAAAAATTATATTGACAAAAAAAAATAAAAAAAATCACATTAATATAAAAGTTTTTGTACTTATTGGGTCAAAATAACATAAGGTTAACCTAAAAAAATTAATTAAACTGGTCAAATTCGAGAATAATTTATGCAATTTGATAAATAGCACTATTCGTACATTGGATGTTTTGAATTGGTCCAGTCTAAAAAATGAACAAAACAGAATTAATTAAATAAATAAATTAAGCTAACATGATTATGATACAAAATCGATTAAATTCAACCTAAATTCACAAATTTGGTGGGAAATGGAATGTAAGGGTTAACCTAATAAAATTAATTAAACTGGTCAAATTCGGGAGTCGTTTCTTAAACTTTATAACCAACACTCTTTTTTATACATATTCGATGATTTGAATGGGTCAAGTCTCCCAACATGGATATAATACAATTAATTAAATAAATAAAAATTAGACTAGTATAATTAAGACACGAAACTGATTTAAGTCCAACATAAATTCGCAATTTTGGTGGGGAATGGAAGGTAAAGTATTATTCTTTGTTATATATGCCGAAGTATTACTATTATGAACAATGTTTGTCTAAGATCGCGTAAGTAAAAATGTCAATATGACATGTGTCAAAAAAATTTTAAAATAATTAATAAAAATTGTTTGAATCTTTTTGTGAATCATTTAAAAGGAAATATTTTTTTCCCTAGTGCCTTTGAAATTTTCTATTCCAAACCCTTCATATTGCAATTCATTACCGAATAAGTTAAACAATTAACTCAAACATGATAAATTAAGTATAATTATAAGACTCTAATTATCAATAAAGTTTAAGAAAATTAATTTGGTTTCGAATTGCAATAGGTGGTGACACCAGACTTATGCGAAGCTACTAGCTCTCACACACTCATGAGAGAAAATTATCTTCCTTTTTTAATAATTTGTGAAAAGACTCAAATGATTTAAATTTAATTTTTTAATTTTTAAAAAATATTATATTATTATTGATCCACGTCAACGTCATACAGACAGTCTCGCTTGTGGGAGCATAAGGCAAACTTTTTCCCAATGATTCACATGAATCATTTAGACTTTGAAAAAAAAGAATCATTTAGAATAGATTCTTTTTTCTTCTATATTTCCTTCAGATATTAAAAGAAGCAACTTGTAGTGTAAAAAAGGAAGTCAATGTAGGTCCAACTACTTCGCCGGTCGCAGCACATGTGCCATGATGGACGGCTGAAAATTTAAATCTCCTTTTCAGAGACCACAAATTGAGTCTCACCAGCTCCAGCCTCCATTACTACATTATTATTATTATTATTATTTTGCACTGCTACATTATGAATTGAGAGGACATCCCTCTCTATAAATTGCAGCAATACACATTTTCTCTCTCTAGATATAACATAAGTAAAATATATATATATTTGGTGTGTATATGTTCAACTATATCGCTTTCCACTATATCAAAGATCTATTCACCAAATTTTATAACAAATTTGACTTAATATAAAATGTAATATAATTTATATATAAAAATATTATTTTATTTTTCGATATTATGCAAACGAGTATTCGTGTGTAATCTTCTTAAATTTTAAAAAATGTCAGTGTAATTAACCATAAAAGTTCAAATCCTCTAAATTAAAAAGCATGAAAAGAACAAAAACATAAAATAATAATAATAAATCTTTGAAAAACAAAGCAAAAATTGTTGATGATTGCAAATCTAACCATCCAGTGTACTAAGTTTGCTTTCAGGCCATCCACAGAATCCAAAGAATTAAGAAGGCTATAAGACAATGTCTGGGGACACCACCTTGAAATTAAATAATGTATTTCCATGGGGCCACTTTTTTTTTAATCCTAATATAAGAAAGTGGAGATCTTGCGTAGAATAGTTACATTGAATTGTTATACCTATTATTTTAATAAGTCAATTATGCAACAAGTAAGAAAATAGAGATTCTTGCACCTTAAATTACTAAACTTATTATTTTAATTGGCTAATTATGCAACAAATAAGAAAGTGAATATTCTTGCATCGAATAGTTACAGTAAATTGCTAGACTTACTCTTTTAATTGACCAATTATGTAATAAATAAGAAAATGAATTCTTCCACTTAGTTATATTTTGTATAAATAGTCAATTAAAAATTATTAAGTTGAGCAATTTACTGCAAAATGTTCGGTATGAGTCTCATATAGATTAGGCTAAGACTATCCTTCATCATCCATAATATGGGATACTGAAGCTTTTCTGCTCACACCTAAGGCTACAATTTGAGCGGGCTAACCCAGCCAAGCCCAACCCCAACCTATAAATTTTGAAATCTGGACATACAATTCACAAATCGGGTTCATGTTCGGGTTGGGTTTTGTCAAGACATATTCGGGTTGAGCTTGAGCTCAACCTGAACCCAACCCCAAACCCAAAATTATTATTATTATTATTATTATTTCTCTCCTCTCTCTTGTGTCTCTTCCTCTCTCTGCCATCGTCCCCAACATGAAAAAGGGACTCATCCGGTCTTAGGTTTGATCTGTGGTTTTCACCGTTGACCGCTCACCGGACCGTCCGTACGTAGTTAAATTTGGGTTTATGTGTCTCGGCGGCGGAGATGCTACAGCCTCTCTACGTGTCACTGGCGACATCGACCTCCGCCCTGAACCCTCACCGTGGTCTCGCCAGAGACCATTGGTGGCCCTATATTGCACCGTCTGGTTGTGGTTGTCTGATCCTGAGTTGACCTCAATGTATTGTTGCTTCTTCTTTCCGGCGATGGCGCCTGCCTCCTCTACGGAGATCTGGGTTTCCTCTCCCTCGCTCCTGCGATTTCTCCAAAGGACGGCCGTCTCTTTGAGACCTTCGCAGGGGACCTCTCGACTCTCTGGTTCACTTCTCCGTTGTCATCTCTTTTATCGGTCACCGTTGTCGTCGATAAACTCTCGCTAAAACTGTACAAGTCTGAAACCTCGGAAACCTCAGAGATGATATCATTTGTTGGTTTAATCACAGCCATTGGTTGAATCTTGGCTTCATTGACTTTAGGCAGCTTGTTGTTGGTGGGTTCGATCTGTGTAGGAATGGGTGGTTTCGGAATGGGTGTCTCAGAGAGCACTTCTTTGACGGTTTTTTTTTCGGGTGACGACGGAGGAAGAGCTCTGCAGTTGGCATCAAATTCCGGCGAGTGGTGGTGGTGATTTGAAGGAACCGCATCTGGGTTTGTTTTGGGGGCCTCATTGGTCTTAGAAATGGACAATATTACTAAACAGGCAAAACCTACTAGTCCTATCCACTACAATAAAGGCAATTTTTTTAAAAAATAAACAAATAAAATTAACACTAAGATCTGAAAATATATGAGTTTTGAAGTTTTGATTCTTGCAGACAAATCTGAAAAATATATGGGTTTTGAACTTCTGATTCTTGTAGATTTTGTAGTTTGCAGTTGTAGAGAGAGAGAGTTGAAAATGAGACCTGTGATTGGGGAGGCTGAAATGATTTGCCCTAAAATTTTGTTGTTTTTTAATAATAATACAATTAAATATATATAAATTTATGGAAATATATATATATATATATATATATATATATATATATATATATATTATTATTTTAAAAACTCAACTCGTCAACCCGACCTGACCGACTTGAAAAATATTCGGGCTGGATTTTGACCATAACCCATGTTGGATACAATTTGGACTGGTTAATCGAACCCGATTCGGGTTGAAGTTGGGTTGGGTTGGGCCAGCTTAACTTGCAACCCTACTCACACCATAGCCACGTATTCAAACTTTTCCCACTGGAGAAGCAACATGGGCATTGACTTTGGGAAGGCAATGGGATGGATAGAAAAAGGTGATTACTAAAGTTGCAAAAATGGATAAGCCATGGATAAAATATATGTTAGTGGGGATTACTAGTGGCCTAATGGATAAAACGCGTAGCTTCTTCGAGCAGGTGTGCTCGTATTTGAATTCTCCTTAATTTGTTAGGAAAAAATAAAAATAATATATGTATGTTAGTTGTAGTCTTGTAGGTAACCCCCCGTGCCATCCAATTTTTTTCATCTAGCCTATGTACCAAGTTTGAGCGTAAAGACAGGGTAAAAACGTTATTATTTGAAAAAAAAAATCAAAACATGTGCATCCACGTTATTAAAAAATCATCAATTTTTAATGAAACATTTAATTTTTTATAAAAAATTATCGACAAAGAAGCGCATTCACACATCATGTATATGTTCTTACGATGACTAGAACCATTAATCTTTTACTTTAAAAGATGAGAAAGAACTATTAATATTTGGTGATTTTAAAAATACATTGACCATAAGTTGCTACAATTATGCACAATATAAAGGGTCATCTACAAAAATACTTAACCTAAGTGATTTACGGGAATGGGAATGGGAACGAGAACAATCAACAAAGATAATAGTTCAATAATTGAGATGAGATAGAGGAAGAAAGTTACTCAAGGATGGCTAACATTATGAAAATTTAGGCTCATTTTTTAATTGAATAATTTGAATGGATTTGGAAAGAAAATAAAAGAAAGAATAGTGTGAAGTGAAGTATGTTGGGCTATCTTAAATGAAGAGAAAATAAAAGATTACAAGATATTTGGAGGGATAGTGGTATCACATGTTATTAGAATATTTTGAGACAAATGATAGTGATTAAGTAAACTTTCTAATATTAAAATTATGAAAAAAAAAAGAAAAATTTGTTATGACACTTGAGTCCTATCGTACAAAAGAATATGATAATAATTTGGTTATTATCCTTTCTTTTCTCCACTACTTTTTTCAAACAATAATACTATTGTAATTATAAGAGTTTTAACATACAGAATAGTATTACTTTCAAAGAAGAAAGTGAGAATTCAAATTCCCAGAGGGCCAAAGTGAAATAAAAAAGAGGTCTGTAATTATGAAAATATTAACGAAGTCACTATATAAAAAATAAAAAGATTTCACATCCCATGGAGAAGGTAAGTCAACGTATTTATTATTTAACCCCACTTAAAAAAAAAAAAAAAATAAACAAATAAAAAGCTCTCATGTACTAATAAAGTCTGCATCTCCATTTCTATTCTCTCTTTCCTCTCTCTCTAAAACCCAATCTCTCTCATCAGATCTCGACCTAATTCCACCAATGGCGTCCCCAACCCCACGCGAGGAAAACGTGTACATGGCGAAACTCGCCGAGCAGGCCGAGCGCTACGAAGAGATGGTGGAGTTCATGGAGAAGGTCTCCTCCGCCGCCGACGAATCCGAGGGCCTCACCGTGGAGGAGCGCAACCTCCTCTCGGTGGCCTACAAGAACGTGATCGGCGCACGCCGTGCCTCGTGGCGGATCATATCGTCGATCGAGCAGAAGGAGGAGTCCCGCGGCAACGCCGATCACGTTGCAATCATCAAGGACTACCGTGGTAAGATCGAGGCCGAGCTATCGTCGATCTGCGACGGCATTCTGAAGCTGCTCGATGCGAAGCTGATCCCTTCGTCGGCCGGTGGTGACTCGAAGGTCTTCTTCTTGAAGATGAAGGGGGATTATCATAGGTATTTGGCGGAGTTCAAGACCGGAAGTGAGAGGAAGGAGGCCGCCGAAAATACGCTCAACGCCTATAAAGCCGCGCAGGTTTGTGATCAATACATATATAATTTGTGATTTGATTATTTAAACATTTTTTTATTTTTTTATTTTTGTGGTTGAATATTGGATGTTTGGATATGTGTGTACTTTGGTTGTTGATTTTGACTTTGAGATTGAAAATATCTCTAAGTTCTTACTGAGTTATGCACCTTTTATATCTATGTGCTGATATTGCCAATATTAATCACAATGTAAGAGTTTGATTAGAGTTGATAAATCCTCACAGGTTTGTCAATACACATATAACTTGTGATTTGATTGGTTTGATGATTTGGACGGCTTTATACTTTATTGATTATTAATTAGATTTGTAGTTATCCATTAGTCTTTTTGCGTGTGCGTGTGTATGTCTGTGGGGTTAAATGTTGGGTGTTTAGATGTTGATTTTGACTTAGAAATCATGTACTAATTTATGGTGTGATCGAAGATATTTTTGAGTTATGCACCTCTATATCTATGTGCTTATATTGCGAATCTTAATCATAATGTAAGAGTTTGATTAGAGTTGATAAATCGGCGCGGGTTTGTCAATACATGTATACTTTTTGATTTGATGGTTTGATGATTTAGACAGGTTTCTGCTTTATTGATTGTTAATTAGCTTTCTAGTTGTGCATCTCTCTCTGTTGGTTGTTTGGATATGTTTTTACTTTGGTTGTTGATTTTTGACTTTAAAGTCATGTACTAATTTATGATGTGATTGAAAATATTTTTTTTTCTGTTCTTATTGAGTTATGCACCTTTATATATGTGTTTTTAAATAGCAAATATTAATCTTAATGTAAGAGTTTGATTAGAGTTGATCTGAGGAGTTTTTAAAAAGATTTCATCCCTGTCCAGTGTGGGTGCAGTCTTGCATGTTTGATCATCAAATCGTGTCATATCCTTGTCATTGAAGATCCGATGCAACTGAATTTTCGGTGTAAAACAAAGACTCTGTGCATGTCATAGCATTTTAAATGTGAAAATTTCACTCATTGTAGTGCATCCTTCTAACATGATCCCTGAGAACTTCTAGTGAACTAGGAACTTGTTTGCCCTATTTTTTGTTGGTCAGATATCATATTTGACACAAGTACTTGTAAAGTGTACATTTGGAAGTGTCTATATGAGATAATTTGATTAATTTTAATTGTTAGTGCTTCTTTTCATGTTTAGAAGTTTTAGTATTAATTTTATGCCTTGATTTGTCTGCGATTGTGCCATTGTGGGTTATCTTTATATTCTTATTCGATTTGCAACTTTTATATGCTTTATTGCAAATGTTGATCTGAAATGGTGAGAATCCAATTTGAGTTTGAAAGGTTCCTTTTTTTATGATTATGGTCCCTTGTTGATGTTCAATTCTCTTTTATTCTATATTTAATATTCTGTTTGCAGGATATAGCAAATGCAGATTTGGCTCCAACTCATCCAATTCGGCTTGGACTGGCTCTTAACTTCTCAGTGTTTTACTATGAAATCTTGAATTCACCTGATCGAGCTTGTAATCTTGCAAAACAGGTAACAGAACTTATTTTGAAACTCTAATTTTCAACTTTCAGTTTCTGTTGGTGATAAAGGTCTTGGTTAGATAAAACGGAGAAGAGAAGAATGATGTTTGTGATGTTCTTGAATTCTTCTTTTTCTTCTTCCAGTTTACTTTAGTTCCTGCAATTTCTTCAATCAAAATGTACTTGTTATTGTGATGCACATTGTGAGGGCACTTGCTTGGCTGCTTTAAACACTTCTTCAAGCTGAACAGCACCGTAACGCTTTTTATTTGACACACATACCTTCTGAGATGCAAAGGGGCACATATGGGCCTCACCACTCAAATACAAAGAGACAAATGTGTTTGGCCCTTGTCGCCTATCCTTTTTCTAGTTGAGCAGGTTGATTTCTTGAAAATTGGCTTGGGCATATAACAAAACAGTGTGTGTAAAGGAATTTGTGTTAGGTCCAACTTGTGTTTCATTAACTGAGCTGATGATAGAACAAATAATGTGTCAAAAAGGTGCAATTGGTGGAGATATCTTAACAATCATAATGAGGGTTCTAAGCAATTTTTTTCCCCTTGTGTAAAGAGAAGTTGCGTTTGCTGGGAGTCGAACCCCCGTTCCAAGTAATTTACCAAGTGCCGCATTATATGTTTGTTAGCAAGTCACTAGTATATGTGTATAAAAGGTGGTTTTGTTTTCATCAGGCTTTCGATGAAGCCATTGCTGAACTGGATACACTGGGAGAGGATTCATACAAGGATAGCACTTTGATAATGCAACTTCTTCGTGATAATCTGACTTTGTGGACCTCAGACATGCAGGTTGTGCTTTCACTCTTTTCTAATGATTGTTTTACCTTTCTCTCTCCTATATTTTACTCCCTGAAGCAAATTCTTTTACTGAGAGTAACTGCTGATCTTCTTAATAGGATGAAGGGGGAGATGACATCAAAGAAGCACCCAAGCGCGAGGATGAGCAGCAGTGAAGTCGCTTGTTTTCATATTAGTACTTCACTTCCTCTGTTTTTTATTGGAGAAGCTGTCTCGTCCCTTTATCCATTTCGTTAAGTTAATTCCTTGATTGTGAAACCTTGGAGTTACTGAATTATCTTAGTTTCCCATTCTGATCTCAATCCCCCCTCCAAATCTCTTCTGGTGCATGAAGTTCCCTTTTTTCCCGCAGCTGAAAACACGAATACTCCATTTTGCTTGCTCTTAATATTCTGTCCGTTGGGTACAAACAGTGTTGGAAATTTGGAACCATGTATCCTCTGGCTTAACTGTGTGACAAAATGTGTGCTCGAAATAAAATGGAGCATACCTATTTGTTCTGATATTCGGGATGTTTAAGCCTCTGCATCTTCTTTCTGCATTGTGTTACATTTGTCCTCTTAGATTGTCTTGTTTACTTATTATTATTATTATTTTTTTTATATTTATTGTGGTATTAAAATTTTGTTATCAGATGATTGATTTTCAAAACTGGGAGAGGAAGGTAGATTATAATTACTTTGTTGGGGTAGTAGGGAAGTCTGAGTGATTGGTCCACCCTCACTTTTCTTTCCCCTCCCTTGGAACACAATTCTTCCCTTTCCGTCGTTGAAAGGTGTGCTATAAGCGGAATAAGTTGGTATATCTTTTTGTTTACCTATTTGAAAATTGTACGCCCAATTGGCCTTGAACCCTTGACTTTTTATGGATTTTGTAAATGATTTTTGAAAAATCAGTGAAATAATAAAACTTTTTTTATCATGTCTTTTCTGTTTTTCTATTTTCTTAAAGCAGAATACTGTGTCCAGGTTTCTAATATATTGACATTGACGAATCAATGTTACATAATATTAGTTGCACATTCTGAGCATTTTAAAAAAGAAAACATGAAAAAGTTTTCAATATTAGAGTGATTTTGAACTAATATTTATGATAATAATGAAAACGTATCTTAATAATGGCCTTTACACATTTTTTACATTGACTTTCAACTTTTTAACTTTGAGATTTATTTTTAACTTTGAGAAGTTGAGAAATCTCACTAATTTATAATTTTTGCCCTCTTTGATGGCTATATTATTTAATTTTTGTCTAGGGATGTCATTGAGAGTATGAATAAAATAATTATTAATTGAATGACAATTATTTTTGTCTGAGTTTAAACGTGACTCCAATATATAAAGAATGATTGTATTATTATGAGAAATGAGACCCATCTTCGTACTCTCTCTCTATTGATTTTGGACTTCTCATTTTTAAGAAATCCAATGAATAATTCACAAGCTCTTGCTTAAATCATTGTTTTTTTTTTTTTTAAAAAAAAAAATGCAATCAAAGCATAGAGTTTGTGAATAGTTCACTAAATAACCTCAACTTTGAGAACCCTATTTTTTAAATCCCCAAATTACCCTTTGTTTTCTACCAAACTACCCAGCGAAAATTAAAACCTTTTTATTTTTTTTAACCTCTGCGCCATTGCTGTTTATCAAGCTGCAGACAATTGTCATTTCTTTGCTTCATATACTCATTTACATGTTTGGTGGTTGTTTTTTCATTGACTCATAATTTATAATCAATGTTAAAAAAAATACTCCGTAAAAATGGTTGTAAAGAAATTTTTTGTTGTTTATCCAAAGCTCAGTTTGTTGTTCTTTCAGTTCATTTTGTGGAGTGCAGAGAACTCAACCAAACCTTTGGTTTATGCCATTTTTGAATCTTTCAAAATAATGTTTGAGTGAGATCCTCAGTTGGTTTTAATTCTCGATTCAGATGCCTTTATTTGTTTCTGTTTTTGTTTGACTGTTACATGTGAAAGGACAAGAGTTTTTAAATTTTTTTCACAACTCAACTAAGTTTTTAAGTCGCTGGAAAAGTTTTCAAGTTTAAGTGTCAAAAAGTGGTAGAAAAACAAAGGAAGACTTGACAGCTGCAAACATTACTAGAATAATTTTAAAATATAGAAAAAAAAAAAAAACTAAACAGAAAGGGAATAAAATTAAACAAAGGGGCATAAGAGGAATAGACATAAATGACGTGAGGATACTCTATAGCCCCACTTCCCGCCCAAACCCTCAAACCCAATCAGAGTAATCTGACATCTCCATCGTCGGAAATGGATGCTGCCGGTCCCGGCAAAGATCTGGCGAGCTTTCTCATACGCCACCATTCCGATCAGCTTCGCTCCATCCTTCTCTCCTCTGATTCTCGCCTCCATTACCCTCTCTATGTCGAGTATGCCCATAAATCCCCTCTTCTCAATTTCTCTCTCTATATGTGTGTGTATATATATACATACATACATGTATATATGTAATTCTCTGTAACCTCTCTCTCTCATTCTCAGTCTCGCAGAGTTGATGGATGACAATCCACCCCTTGCTCAACTTATTTTCTCTCAACCCACTGAGTACTTGCATCTATTCGACGAAGCAGCTAGATGGGCTCAGGTACCACATTTTTTTTTTTCCTGAAATTCCCTCTCTATATTTCTTCGTGGGTCTATAAATATCTCAATAGACAGTTCTTGAATTGATCCAGTTGATTTTTCGATGTTTATGGCATATAGAAAGTCATTGCGGCGGATTGCAAAGCTTGGAATAATGCGACTGTAAAGGAATTTGTGCATGTTCGAATCAACATCAGCGGTTCTCCTCTGGAATGCTCTGGTTTGCTTGTTAACCTACTTCAATCTCTTTTTTTCATACTATGTTTTTATGGGTACATTTTTATTGTTTCAATTGATGTGATTTTGGGTGTGTTCAGAGACTTTTCCAAGCATTGGACGCATAAGGGTGAAGCATCGGGGGATTCTTCTCACTCTAAAGGGAACTGTAATCCGGTCTGGAGCGATCAAGATGATTGAAGGGGAGAGGGATTACCTGTGCCGAAAATGCAAGCACAGGTGTTTGTTTTGTGCAATTGCTGCTTCATGCTGCACTTCTGAATAAATGTGATATAATTTTGTTTCTTGATAAATTATTAGCTGAATTTATTGAGACATTCTTGAAATTACTGTTTAAAATTGTAGGTAGTTGGTCAAGCAAGATCAAGGAAGTGTATTGACATTTGAATTCAACCAAGTTGGGATTCCATAAAATTTCATGAAATTAGGGAGAATTTCAACCCATTAAGATATTTTAAACAAATTTTACACAACATCAAAATAGTAATGGCTCTTAGTTCTGCTGAAAGATGAATCTTATATTTTTCATGTGTTACGTGATGTATACTCCATCTGCTACATGGTCTGCTATACATTAATGTTCCAGTTCCTATAGAATTTGGATTGATTTTATGAAACACGAATTATTAGTTATATAGCGCTCTTTCAGTGGCATATGGTGTGACCTTATGTGATGTTGTTAACAAAAGTTCAGTATGCCAAAATCAAGTTGGCGGCATAGTCTAAAAGCTACATGATGCTTTTGGCTTGTCTTATATTCCAAAAAAATCAAGTTTGTGCTTGTCAACAGTATATAACTCTGAAAAGTGCAGCACATGCTGCCATTCAACTATTTATAAACTGAAATGGTATTCGGTTTTCAACTGTTGAAGCATGTGATAAGAAAAACAGTTGACGCCATTGATGGTATTAATCTCATGTTTGTTTCTCCGACATACATATCAGTGATATTTTGAGAACTTATTGACTGATATATCCATCCATTTTAGGCTCTCAGATATTGTGAAGACTTCAAAAAGGACGTTTAGCACTTATTAGGTCTTGCATCCGAGATGGGCTTACAATCAATCTAGAGTCAAACCTGATGAAGTCCCAAATTTACATTCTTTTTCAAACCATGGCCTGGTACCCAGTCTGTGATTTTCTTATAAATTTTTTGATATTTCATAAAGTCGGTAGCGAAATTGAATCATGAATATTAATACACTTAGAACATGTTCACAAATTTACAATGCTTGATTTGCTGTAGATACAATATTTCTGGCTAATAGATGTTTGTGTAAGTTTCTTAGCTGGATCTGTTATGTTGGCAATGCTTATATGCAGGTTCACAGTTTTTCCCGAGTTGGAAACTAGAAATTCCGTACCACTGCCATCATCTTGTCCCTCCCAGGTTTACTCTTTATTCTGTCTGTTTTATATGTGTGTGTGTGTTTTATTTATTTATTTATTATTTTTTATTTGTACTCGATTCAACTCAACGAAATCTTTTCCCAACTACTTGGAGTTGGCTACATGAATCATGTTTCACCATTCTATTCTATCTAAGTTCCTAACGTTGGCTAATCCACTTGCTATCAAATTCTTTTACTTACTATCTCAACCCAAGTTAGTTTTGGTTTTCCTTGTCTCCCATAATTACTTATTTTTCCTTTGAATAGTTTAAATGACATAGGCAAACTTAGTGATAACAATTAAAATTGGGCCACGTGGTTATGTGCAAAATAAGAATATCATCATTTATAGACTCTGTTGAGCTATTTTTTACGAGTCATGCAAAATGCAGTGAATCTTTTAGACCAACCACTGGTATTTATAAGGATGTGTATATGTGTAAGTAAAAGTGTGCTTATAGTTTCCTAGCCGACCACAAGAAGTTGGGGTGAAAGCTTTTCTGAGTTAACTTTTTAGTTTTAGTTTTTTCTTTCTGGACAATATACAATATGTCATTGTGTCTTTTACCTTCATGTCCCTTGCAATTAGGCATCTGTTAGCCTTTTGCTATAAAATATTTCTGTTTTGCTATTGTGTTGGTGTTTGATTACTAAATCCATTTTCCCAGAGCAGGGATTTAAAGGATGCGAAGGCACCAATTTCCAGCTAATAGAAGACAGTATAATGCGCCATGATTATCAAGAAATTAAAATCCAGGAGAATACACAGGTGTTGGGTGTTGGGGCTGTCCCTCGTTCAATTCCTATTATTCTGAAGGATGATCTCGTTGACATTGTTAGAGCCGGAGGTACAACATCCTGAAGCACACAATTTAATCACTTACTGAATTTTAACAATACCTGTCAATCATATCATCAGATTTTTGAAAATTTGAATTCATAAATTGTTCTTTTGATCCATATGCAACACAAAGAGTATTAAATGTTTAGGTTACAGGCTCCTCTGCTCTGTTTTGTTTTTTTTATTTTTTTATTTCTACTTATTTTCTGTTCAGATTTCAAATTGCAAATAAAAGACCTAATGTTGGTCGTATTCCACTCTAGCCTGCCAGAAAAAAAAAAAATTACAAAGGAAAAAAGGAAAAAGAATTGGTGGAGCTGTGGTCATAGGTTTAGGTAGAGTATAAAGAGGAATGAGAGAAGACTTCTCATGCAGGATTAATTTCTTCCAGACACTCCTTTGCTGCAAGCCTGCAACTCAGGCTTATTATGTCAGGTTGCTAAGCAACTCAATGTCTCAACCCCAGCCACGAGGGCTGAATAGGCTGGATGCATGACAGTTAACTTCTATATTCAAGCATTGGGTTCAATGAAGTTGAGTTAAGTCTGGTCTGCTCTAGGACAAATATATGAAAAAATTAAATAAAAGAGAAAAAGTTCTCCATCCTAAATTTATCAAAATATAGTTGCTTTATGATTTCTTGCAATTTAATTGCATGAAAGGAATCTTAAAGATGCTTTGTATCATAGTAAATGGAATTAAATGGTAAAAATCCCCTGAAGTTTTGCTGCGAAGATGCCACTTTGATGTTCAAGATGACTAAGTTTCCTCTCTCCAATTATTTGCAACAGAGATTTGAAAAATGGTTATCCTATGTAACCTTTTGGTCTACTTGTGTTAAAATTCTCTTTCTGTTTGGATCAATTGAATAAATGATATAGAGAGGATGTTGGTGTTGCTGATTCTGGTTTTAAAATTCGGCTTACTCGAACACTTATTATTATTATTTTTTGATAAGTACATCTTACTCATACAATTATCTGCAAGGAATACAAAGTAGTATAAATGATGTCATATTAAATAGTACATTAATACGGAAAACGGAGTAAACTGGTGTTACTACATATGAAGCAGTCAGCCCAAGTCCTTTTTGTGGGTTCAGTAGCGTTCAACCTGCCCAAATGGCAGACCTCATGGTTCCAGCGTAACAAATAAAATATATCTTTCTTGTCAATCTTAATTGCATTCTCATTTCTCTTTCTAGATTGAAGAAAGGAACAAAACCAGAAAAGTGGACACATCATAGAGTGGCCTTTTGATTTGGCTTGTGCTATCTGTTGGTGGTTATAACTTCATTGAACTGTAATCCTTTCTGTTCTATAGTGGCTCCAATTGTGCTTGCCAAATAAAGTACTTCCTCCGTCCTAATTTAGATGTCTTTTTTGGGATTCCAATTTTATAAGAATTTGACATTTTATGCATTTCCATTGTGATGGTAAAGATTGAGGGCCTGTTTGGTGGAGCTTCCTGTACCCCCAAAACGAGCTTCCAAACAAAAGAAGTCCTGTCATGAAAAAAATGACCGTTTGGTAACATCGTTGAAATGGCCGCCTTGAAAATTCTCTCACTTTGAAAGTCCGTTTAACCAAAGCTACCTAGAGTTGCTTTCTGAAACGTCTTCCCGCAAAACCAGGAATTATCATTAGTGCTACATTTGAAACTACCATTTTGTCCCTATCTCTAACTGTATGTTACCCATATTGACCTGGTGTCTTTATGTAATTACAAGTTACATCGTCTTCCTCACACTGGCTGTTGCTGGCCACCATTATCCCCCCTCTTCGACCATCTCCTCCACGAAGACCGGCCTCCAAAGTTGTTATTGAAAATTGTAGAAGATCTCACCAAAGCTCCTCCACCCAAACCCAAAAGGGTCCAAGATTGATCTGCTTATTTATTTATTTATTAATTTATTTTTGAAGAACCCAAATTTTTTTCTCTCTTTCTACTACTGCTATGATAATAAGTATCAAAAATTGAATTTTCTACTGAATATTTCCTTGCGTTCCTCCCCTGTTACAGTGTTACCTTCTTCTAGTAACAGCAAAACCCCAAAATTAAAACTAGTCTTCTGATGCTAATTTATTTTTTGTCTTATACATACATACATACATACATACATATATATATGCAATTGGGTGCAGTTCGTATTTGAAGATGCAACAAATACTGTAGACATGTTCCTTCTTCAGACAATATGGTATCCAACAATGCCTAAACATATAAACATTTATACAATTGGTGTGGGGTACTTGACGATAGAAAGTTGGGTGGATTAGTTATATGGATCAGGGTAATATTGTGAATGAAAAATTATGGTAAATGTCAAGGGACTTAAATAAAATTTGCTCCCCAAACATCTTTCTTATTTTGAATTCCTTTTAACAAAATGCCTTCAAGAAATGACTTCTTAATGAAGGACTATAGAGGACAGAAAGCCCACCCAAACACCACTTGAATTTCTAGAATGATCCCTCTATTTACCTTTTGCCATAATGATTTGTGTGCTAACTGCTAAGTGGTAACTTTTCAAATTGGGTAAATTAGGAATGTTTAGGAAAACATGTTGACTTTTGAAAGGGACTTTTTTTTTGGAATATCCAAAAATGGAAAGAGGGACATTTAATATGGTCTAGAGGGAGTAAAAGAATGGCAAGGAATGTTATAGAAGATTAGCAATTGAAGGAATCTCTTTATTCCCACTCCCCCCTCGAGCTAGTAGAGTAGGAGTTGATCTGAATAGCCAACAACTGTGGACTTTGGAGACAATAATGTCTTGACTGGGTTGGTGGCAATAAAAAAAAAAGTGCAGCCTTGAGTCTTTAGGATCAAGTTAATTGATCTGAGTGAATAAGAAAAACATCTGAGAATTTGTGGGAGAAAAAAATAGCAGCTGGCCTGGGCAAGAACATCAGGAGGGGTATGATGCATGAACTATATTGGAAGTTAGATGATAAGATAGTAGTTGTTAGCATTGCCATGAAGAATTATGTCCTCAGAATACTTTTAGATTACAAGAGATTAACATAACATCGAGAAGATGATCTTTATCCAATATCTATATATTGTTACGTTGCCTTGGCATGAGTTTTGTTGATTAATGCCATTTTCAGAGAAATAGGCAAGGAACAACCATATCAGTGAACTCCTCGCTATCAGATGAAAGAACTTGAACATTTGCTTCATGTTAGGTTTCAGTAGTTTAAAGAATGTTATTGGTGTCTGCTTTATTTTATTTTTTTATAATTTATTGATGTCTGTTTGTTTCTTTTTTTTTTACTTAATATGCTCTTTGAGATATATATTTATTTCTCAAACCTTATGTCTAATCTTATGCTCTGAATGTATATTTCTTTTGTTGGATGGATGTTATAACCTTTTAAACTCATTTTCAGATGATGTAATTGTTACCGGTGTTTTGACCATGAAATGGTCCTCAGACTTGAAGGATGTCCGATGTGACCTTGATCCTGTATTAATTGCTAATCATGTGAGGTAATTTGACTGGTTTCTCTTATCATAGTTTGAACAGAAAATGATTTATTATTACTCTGGGGACTGTTGAAGAAGTATGCACTATCCAGAAGCTACTAAGCTAGTCTAGAAGAATTTCTAGTATTTTGCATTTGATTATTTGTTGCTTATAATATAATGTCAAATTTAATATTAGGGAAATGTCATATGTTTCGTTAAAGATAAAAGGTATATCATGAAGAACTTACGGCATATGTTAGAAAAATAATAAGGAAAAGAAAAACAAAGAAAATCGAAACAGCTGACATTGAAAAATTGTCTTGCGAAGTATTGAAGAGTTGGTTCAACCGGTCAGAAAAGGAACAAGAAGAAAGTCTGAAAATAATTTAAGAACATTTTCAGATTTTGACTGTGGCAAAGTTTTACTTATCCATTTGTATCAGAATTAGCTTAACCGATTTGGAGTGCATGGTTTTTTGAAATAATAAATTCAGCACGAGTCATGACATTAATTAGTTAACTAATCAGAATCTTCTTGGCCTAGCCCAATCCGAAGCCATTTATATCCATATAGATTTTTTTTGGTTGTTGCATCTCAGGAGTGAAAGGGAGCTGTCTTAGCTGTCCAGACTGATTGCGACCTGTTTTAGCTAAAAAAAAAAAGACGGTCACATGCTTATCTTTTTCACCTCGTATAATTGTACTTTTGATCTTTAACTTGATATGTATATTTTTCTTTTTGGCTGATTTTTTTCATGTGTGTCGTGCTTTAGTTGTATGTCACATTTACAGGACTAGCTGATTCCTTTTCGGCTAAATTTTTATACTATGGCATTCTATAACAGGCCAAAAGAAAATCTATTGCATTTTATATTCTCAAGTTCTTCACTTAAAGCTTAAGGTGCACTTTTTCTGCTTTTGCAGCCTTGACAAAGAGTAGTCATTTGTTCTTAAATTCTTAACTGTAAGGGAAATAATAAGATGTTTTGCTCTTTTCTCTAATTTTCTTTAAACAGATTATTTTTCATTTTTAGGAGAACTAATGAGCAGAAGTCAGATATAGATATCCCCGATGACGTTGTTATGAAATTCAAGAACTTCTGGTTGGAATTCAAAGATACCCCATTAAAAGGTAAAATGTCATTATTTAAATGTTATATTGGATCTATAAATGTTATTTGCTCGAACAACATGTGAGGTTCCTGTTTGAGTTTCTGTTTTTATTTTTCGACTTTAGCCTCAGACCATTTCTTAATTACATCAGGGAGAAATGCTATTCTGAGAGGTATATGCCCGCAAGTTTTTGGACTCTTCACCGTAAAGCTTGCAGGTATTTTCTCATCCCATACCAGGTCTTGTTTTTATTTTAACTTTTGAGTCACAGTCCATTGTGTTATTTACTTCTTTCAGTTCTAGATGTAGGTCTTTAGAGTAATGGTGATGTGATTCAATTTAACATAATGCGTATTTTGTTTCTTTTAAGTTTATTAACAGAAAACTTCAAACACCAAATTAACACTGTCTACCTTCAATCTAGTTGCATTAACGCTTATTGGAGGTGTGCAACATGTTGATGGTTCTGGGACAAAAGTTCGAGGAGAATCACATTTGCTTCTTGTTGGTGATCCAGGTAACTTTTGACTTTCCATATCTTGTTTATGTGCTTTTTTATCCCCCCAAAAAAAAAAGAAAAAAGAAAAGAAAAGAAAATGTGAAGGAAAAAGCACAGCAGTCACGAGTACGGTTGGTCACTGTTTAGGGTGCTGCGCCCCTCATGATCTTTTATAGTCCTCGAACTTTTTAGAAGTTCATGAATCGATTTCACTTCCTGAACTGACTGATTATTTTGAATTTCACTTCAATGTCAAGTCTACACTTATTTTTCACAAACTTCTACAAATACTCAATTTCTGGCATGACTGAAGTTAAAATGTAAAGTTTAAATCCTTGCTCCATCTTGTCATCATGCATAATATTGTTGATCTAGTCCATTGCTAATTGACCCCCTGGAGTGGTACCCAGCAGCTGTTGTTTACTGCTAAATGTCTTTTTTTTTTTTTTTTTTCATTGGCAAATGTCTTTTTCTTTCTATTTCATTCATTTTTTTTTTTTTTTTTGTAGCTGTGTCAATGCTAAATATCAACTGATGTTTGTGCTGATACTTTTAGTTTTTGGGACCATTACTTGCGACACAGGAAGTTTGGACTTTCAAGTATAAAAACACAGGTCCTGTTTAAGGGCAGATGCTTGTGTAAATAACGTCTAAAGTTGGATTTGTACTGAGTCCACCTGTCTTAACACCCTCGATTGAAAGGAACCAACATTTAAATAGTGGCCTTTTTAGGGCAGTACATCCTTTTTTATGTATCAATCACTGGTAGCAACCTTTTTTATGTCAGCTCTGATGTCATTCTGTAATTATCTATTATCTGTTATAATCTAAGAAGCATGGACACGGACACGATATGACACGGAAACGCTAACACGTCAAATTCTAAAAAAGTAGGACACGGACACGGCTAATAGAAATATAAATATTCATTTATATATCTATTGATCAAGACAATTATAGAACTTTCATTACTTTATAATTTCGCTAAAGTTTCATATATTAGAAGGTGAACCTATTTGAATATAAACAAGAGTATATATAATTTATGTTCTATCTTGTCATTGTAGTTATGTTTTTGTTCATATTACGTACTATGACATGTATTTAACGTTATTTTTTGTAAAGAAAAAGAGGTCGGACACTTTGATATATGTTTATAATGTTGTTTCTAGGACTGCCATATGTTTGTTTTATATAAGACAAAGTGTGGATTTGTTGTCGAGTGTCTGAAATGTGCCGACCAAGTGTCTGAGATGTGTCGGTCAAGTGTCCAAGATGTGTCGACCAAGTGTTTGAAATAATACAAATTATTTTTAAATTATGGACATAGTCATTAAGTGTCGGAGACGTGTCCAGAAGTGTCCATGAAGTGCCGGTGTCCGAGAAGGACACGGCACGTTATAGATTTGTCCATGCTTCTTAAGTTATAATAATCTCATTCATGATAAAATTTTCCAAAGTTACAGTGCTCAGCACTCCCTTATTTATTTATCGCATGTATGAAGTAACTATCTTATAGTTCCTTGCTGCCCTTCGGTAGTCAGAATAGAAACCCCTTGAATTTTCTTCTTAATACTGGCTGCAACAGGCTTTGTAAATTGTACCAACTGTTGCATTTTAATTTATCATTACCGTTAACAGTGATATTGTAATATTGTGATAGCAGTGGCTCATATGCTAGGATTCTGCATTTCATATAAGGTGTATTAGATTTCTAAGAGTGCATTACAGGTAGTGCAAGTAGTACTGCTTAGTTGCTTGATACAAATTATAATGTATGTCGTGGTCTTCTTTAATAGTTTGTCTATATAGAAACAAGTAGATATACAAATCATATCAAATTACCTAATATGTTCCATTTTCTACCCAAAATTGACTTCACTTGAAAAATGCCACTTTAAATATCTTTTCTTTTTGAATTATTCATTATCTGGTTAAGAAGATGGTTTCAGGAGCTAGATAAATATTGGGTTAAGTGCAGAAAACCCCCCTGCAATATCGGTTATGTGCACAATGCATCCCTCCTTTTTGAAAAGGTGCATTTCAGTTCATAAAATTCAAAAAAGGTGCAAATAAGCTCCTTTGACCACTTTTCGGTCAAAATTGACATACACTAATTTTAAAAACCCTAATTTGCCCTTTTCTCATTTCACCAAGATCAAAGAAGAATATGTTTTCTTTTACTTTGCCTTTTTTTTTTTGGTTTTACTTTTAAATGAATCATATTAAATGAAAATATTTATTTCTTTAGGTCAAAGATTACATGAATGCTTTACAGTTTTGCTGTTAGTATGAAACATATTAAATATAAATATTTATTTTTGTAGGTCACAGATTATATGAATACTATACAATTTTGCTTTTAGTACTAATCATATAAAATGTAAATATTTATTTCTTTAGGTCTGAAATTATATGAATACTATACAAATATAATTTCATATTTTATGTAATGCTTTCAAATTATTTGTTTATTCTTCCTAATAAATTTTGGTAAGAAATTTCTAATTTTTCAATTATACATATAAAATCATTTACTTTTACTTTTTCAAATATGTTCTTTAATTTTTGTTTTTGGTCTATGATGAAACAAAATAATATATATATATATATATATATATATATATATATATAGATAATATAGCTTTTTTATTTTTCCTAAAAAAAACTGGTCCCCACTATTGTTTCACACTACTTTGATTAATAGAAAAAATAAACATAATTTATATAAACTTTTTCTAAATAGTAATTTAATTTAATTTTTTTTTTTTATCTCTTAATAACTCTATCGTTCCTGCATCAGTTTTTATCAGCCATGGTAATTTTACATTGCCTAGTCTTTTTAATTTTATTTCATTTTATTGACAAGAGGGTATTATAGTCTTTTTATGAGAACAGGGGGGTATTTGCACCAAATTGATAGTATAGGGTGGTTTTATACCACACAAGGACTTTTTTGCACTATATCAATAGCAGAGGGGAGTTTTTTGCACTTAGCCCATAAATATTTTGAACTACTAAAACGGTGCGAAAACTAATAAGCTATTGTTGCCTTATAAATCAATCAGGTACTGGAAAGTCTCAGTTCTTGAAGTTTTCCGCTAAATTAAGCAACAGATCAGTTATAACTACCGGGTTGGGAAGCACTAGTGCTGGATTAACTGTTACTGCAGTCAAGGATGGAGGTGCATTCTTTTTCCCCCTGGCTCATTATTTATTTATTTATAAATATGATCAAGTTTACAGCAACGCTGTTGTTTTCCTTCTTTATTCATATACTTTCTTCACCATCATTTTTATCATTTATGACGTGTTATGGCCTTCATCCCATTTTCATCTTTGAGTAATTTTTCTAGAGTTTATTATTATTAGATCATTCTTGAGCAATATGAGAGAAAGATGGATGAATCATTGTTACCCAGCACATGGATTGTTTTGGTTCGTAATTTCAGAATAAAGGTGCAAAAGTCTTCCACTTACGTTTGAATATGATTGGTTGGATAAGACTAATTTTAATTTTTTTAGTAGGACTGCTTGTATCAGAAAATGGTTTTTTTCATTGTAATATAATACACTAGTTCAAAATGTGTGATTTTTCATTTATTTCGTGATGCCTAGATATATACATACCTGACACGGGAGAAAACAGTTTTACATTAGATGTGAAGTTATTTTATAGTTGTAACATGATTTACTTGTTCTGGGAGCATTTTTATAGTTCTATTTGGTTAGGTGTGTTCTGGCCCTTAGTTACTTGGGTTCTAGTCTCATTTTTCTAGATGTAAAATCAGTACTCTTTCTGTCTCTCTGGGATACATATTGTCACTTACTCATTATATGTTTATAAAACGTTGTTTTGGTTGGATGATTATAAAGATTCTACTTGCAAAGAATAATCCGTTTCACAACAATTTCTCTTGTTCTTCTTTAAATTTTATTTGGCATAACAGGAGACTTTTCTAATGTTTCTTCGAGCAATATAGTTTGAAATCTCTGGAAAGTTTTTCATCTCACCTATTTTTGTGCACATAACTTGATATACACTACTTACAGTTCAATTAAAAATACTAACCATATTTATTGATCTTTCAGGGGAATGGATGTTAGAAGCTGGGGCTCTTGTATTAGCAGATGGTGGCCTTTGTTGCATAGATGAATTTGATAGGTAGTACCTCTCGATGGCTGCGTCAAACCCTCTTTCTTTGCTTGAACAAATCTTGAACTCAAAAGAAACCATTTTTAAATTTGCTTTCATCTATCGTATAGGATGTACTAGGCTTGCATTTATGTTTTGACGTCCCTGTTTAAGTAATGAAGTAACTTATCATGGTTCTTTCTTTTGTCTTGGTCTGACACAATGCGGTTAGCCCTCTCCCATCCCATAGAACCCCTTGAACCCCATATATGCTTCTACCAGGACTTGAACCCTGCACCTTTCTCCTAAATGACAAGAAAAAGATACTGCCTGATCTAGATTGTTAGCAGTTTTAAAAATCACTGTCATTGAGATTTGTCAACAATAAATTCCAGTGGCTATGCAAATGTTGTAGGAGACCTAGAGGGTATGACTATGTCACTTTTTGTCTCTTCTAACTTTGCTTTATTGTGGTTAATCTATTACCAAGTTTAACTTTTATTCAGTCAATTATCATATACTAATCAACCATACAACCAATCGAGGCAAAATATGAAGTAATAAACAAACCTAAACAATATCAAAATGACACAAAATTACTCGAGAAACCCAATAGGAAAAACCATGGGACCTGGTCCAGGTGTAAACAATTCATTATAATGGGTTTTGCCAAGGATCTATACTCTTATCTTAAGAATCACTTTTGTACATTTACCTACAATCCTTACGCCTTGAAATGTGTTGTCACAAGTCTAGTTGCCATCAATCAACAAATCCATCTCCATGCAAACACGCTAATTTCGTAGACGATTGTTGTGGCACAGTATTTACCAATGCAAAGACACTAATTTCATCACCATCGTTGAATATATATAAAATCATCCATCTTTACAAAAAAGAAACTTAGATATAAGGGCCTTCACAATTGATATGGTATGAAGTACTGATGCCTGGTATCAAATCATAGTTACATAAACCAACTTGGCTCTGTTGTTAATAATCTCCAAATTTAATCGATCCAAAAAATTGTCTTGAGCTACACTCAAAGGTTCAGTTAAGATTTAAGAATTTTCCAAGATTATTTTCAATTTATTATTATTATTATTATTATTATTATTATTGTGTTATTATTTTTTTTTATAGGAAGATAATTTGTCATTTGATTTGTACAGAATAATCATTTCTTTATTTAGGATCAATAACAGAAAAAGATGAGAAGATAGAGGGATGAACAAAACGGAGACAGGTTAGGGGTGTCTTATGTGATAGAAAATATCAAATAAGTGAATGAAAATTTTAATAGAACAATTATTAGTCCAGCCATCTTATAAGGAGAAGACTGTCCTGCGTTAAAAAAAACAAAACAAAAAAACAATGCATTCATGCAGCTGAAATGAGAATGCTAAGATAATTGATAGGAGTGAATTGAAGAGATAAGGTTAATAACTGAAGTGTTAGGGAGAGACTAGGCGTGGCACCTATTAGTGATAAAACAAGAGAAAGTGTGTCTAGGTGGCACGGACACTATCGGTAGATGCACTGGTAAGAACTAAGAAAAGGAAGAGTAGTTTGCATAGAAGACATGGTCGTCCTTAACTAATATGGGATGAAGTAATTATAAGTAACTTAAAAAAATTAAATATAATAGGAGAAATGACTTTTAATAAAAAAGAATGGAAAAAGAAAATTTATGTGGCCGACCCCATTCATATGGGATGATGGCAATGATGCTGATAATTATTTATTCTGTTGCATGCCAACTTTAAATCTCCCCTTAATGGCTCAAATTCATATGATAATGCATGAGGTGTACGAGGTTATATGGCAGTCATTTCTTTTGTAAAGTAAGAAATTTATTTTTCTTCTTCAGTAAATAAACTAAGAAATTTATTAGTGCTAGTGGCTCATGAAAAATATTGACTATATTAATTATCTCTGGTTCAGAAAAGTATTTGAAGTTTTTCTTGCCTTAACTTAGCCCAAAGCTTTCCTTATTTAGGCCAAGTATGTTAAACGTTTTGAACCTTTGGTATGTTTGAAATTGGTATAAATTGCTAGATAGGCTAGTGCATAATTTCTTTGCACCGCCAAAGAAATAGTAATTGTACTACAACAAGATAAGAAGATAAAATTCAATTTTCTTATGTGCTTGTTATGCTGTATTTTTGTTGCTAATTTATGTATTGGTTATGTATAAGCTTGGCTGTGAAAGTGAAAACTACATTTTCTTTTTGTTTGAATTACATGTGTCTGAGAAACTATTTAATGGAAGTAGATATTGCAAAGCCTATTACTTTGAACAAGGCACTTGTTACAGTATCCAATATGAAACTAAAAAGCAACTCATTTTTTTGACAGCATGAGGGAACATGACAGGGCAACCATACACGAAGCAATGGAGCAGCAGACTATAAGTATTGCAAAGGTAGTTTATTTTATTTTTAAAAAATTAATTTATTTTTAAAATACATTCTACAAAATTTTTATATGGTTTCTTGCACACATTTGTATTTCTCTCGTGTAGGTATTTGTGTTAGAAAATTTTGTTGCCTCCCATTACTAAGATAAAAGAAAATATATCATTCAAGGAAATGCGAACTTGCATGTACACATGCCTGTTCAACTTTTGATTTGGATCAAAATTTCATGAATACAATTTATGTAATCGTGTCCGTTACTTATGGCTGATTCAATTTTTTACTGGTAAAAATCCAATTGATGACTATGGCAAAGAAAGATTCAGCCACATTACACATATGATTTGGCATTTAAGGGTGGAAAATTATGTAAATTTAGTATGGAGTATCACTTATCTCCAATCAGACTTGCAAAGTAAACCCTGCTCCTCAACTGTATAACTTTTATTTTACTTAAGTATTCATTGTTTTCAGAGACTCTTGAAGGCTAATTATTAATTGGTCAGGTTGAGGAAATATGACTATTATATTAACAAAACAGTATTGGAATTTCTTGGTAACAAGGAATAGGGTTTGGAACTAAAAATTTGTGTTTGAAAGGAATAGACAGAAGAGATGAGCCTGAACCATTTAAAATGAGGACCTAGGTAATCACTGTTCTGCAAACAACTCCAATAATTTTATATATGAGAAAGTCAAATATTCTGGAATCATCTTATCATTCCTAATTTTTCACCACGTGATCACTTTGGTTAAGAATCCTTAGATCCCACTAAATATTGGTTCTCAGACCTCTGTTCTCAAGAATAATAGTATCTAAAACAATATCTATTAAGATTATCAGTGAGTATGGATATACAATCCTACAAAATGTGGTGAATAATTATTATGACTTATAAAGGGAATAAAGGCAGTAAGAGTATGTTGTTTTAGTTTCAATTTGGAACTATTTACACAGTTATTTTTCATGCAGATTTTTTTGGCATGTCTTTTTTTGTTGACTGTTCTCTTTTGCTTATTTTACCTATTTTCATTGCTATTTCAATTTATTCTCAGACCTTCTGAAAAGAAAAATTTTTTTTGGCTTCTTTCTGAGTATCACATTACACTTATTTTAGAGCTTCCTTCTTATCAGGTACACTAGTAGATGATTCAATGCAGAGAAAGCATATTAGTTATATTATTTTGCGGTATTCTTTCTTTGCCATGTTTCTGTGAAGGGACTAGGGAGGCCCATCTATGACTCTTAAGGCATTCAGCAGGTGCATTTGATTTAATGTCCTAGGTCTTTGAGTTCTAGAATTTTGATTTAGATGTCAAAAGAGCCTTCTGTTGGAGGAGGGGATGTAGTTGTAATTTTATTTGTCTTACAGTCACAAAACGGATCTCAAACTTTGTTAACAAAACATCATTTTTATCTAATGTGCATTCTTCTTGTTAATTTATTGCCCTGTTATGTACATTGACTCAAATTTCCCCCCTTCTATGGTTCATGAGCTGGAATCATTCTTCAATATATATATATTTTTTTGTTTTTAATATATAAGGATTTTTTTATTGTTTGGTGGAAACATGACTCCTGAATGACATTGTTCTTTTCAGGCTGGTCTTGTCACAACACTCAGCACTAGGACGATAGTCTTTGGTGCAACAAATCCTAAGGGACATTATGATCCTAGTCAAAGTATCATTTTATCGTATAGATTTCTTACTTTTTTTTTTTTTTTTAATTACCTCTACAAATTATTGTTACCTGATTTTATGGTCTATATTTCACCTATAAAAGGTCAATCCCACAAGTCTATAGTCTTCATCCTCCTTGCACTTCTTTCACAAGAGGTAGATTGGAATGATAATAGAACTTGTGCCATATATTAGTTCTTAGCAGAATTGCTTTTTCTCTTTAGTGTCAGTCTTTAGCTGTGATTTTCCCATCCCTTCTCATTTTTTTTTGTTCCTTGACACAAGTTAGCTCTATCTGTCAACACAACACTCTCTGGACCCTTAATAAGCAGATTTGATATAGTCCTTGTCTTATTGGATACGAAGAACCCTGAGTGGGATGCAGTTGTTTCGTCTCACATTCTTGCGGAGGTAATGGCTACTAGGATCAATGTGAATTACTCCCTATTCTATCATGGAGCATATTAATAATTCGAATTAATCGGTAGGCTGAACCAGAGAAAGGCAAGAGTAACGAAGATCTAGCGAACGTATGGCCGCTTTCGATGCTTAGACGGTAAACATCTTTTACTTGTGCACCGTTATTGGATACGTCTTGGCTTAAAGAGTAAATATATACTAGCATGATTTACTTGCATATGCTCTTCTGGACATGACTCCTAGCCTGTCAGCAATCTTTCTTCTGCTATGGAACAATGCTTTTGCTACCACTACTTGTATCAATATTTTGTATGGTATATTGAATTATTTAAGACTCCTTTCACGAGATCAATTACATTCTAGTTGCATTAGATTTTATATAATGTATAGACATGTCTTGTCTTAGTATTCATGCAATTTAATGTTCTAGCATATCTCGGATTAACAGCCCTATCGCGTCATCATCATCATCATCCTTGTCTTTATCCCATATGGATGGGGTTGGCTACATGAATTCTCTTTTTCCATTCTTTTCTCTTATACACCATGTCTCCTCTAATATTTTTTAAAATTTAATTAATTACTTCATCCCATGTAAGTTTTGATTTGCCTCTTTTTTGCTTACCTTCTAGGCAAACAACTCTTCTTCTTCTTCTATTGATGAATCTTCGGGTCCACATTGTATATGACTATACCACCTAAGTCTACTTTCTCTAATTTTATCATTAATAGGCATTATTCCTAGTTTTCCTCTCACTTGTTCATTACTAATCTTATCTCTTTTTTTTTTTACCCAAAAAAAAGATAAAGAAAAAATCTTATCTCTTTTTTTTCCTAAATAATCTCATCTCTTTTAGCCAACTCCTATCATCCATCTTATCCTAAACAGTCTAATACTCTAATCTGCTTTTACATATATATATCTAAGGGTGCCACTACTTGGATTCCAACATTAGCCTGAGGCGATCCACACTTTCTAAAGATTCATAATAACTCAAATGATGGAAATATCCTTGGTTCCCAAAAGCCTCCTTTAGCTAGAAGACTGTATCTATCATAAAGAGAAGCAAAGAAATTCATGGATGAACCGAGACATCCTAAAAGCCATTACCCTTTGACAGTATTTTGCACAAAGTGATTGCTTGCAAATTCGAACTCACATCCTCAAGTTTGTCATTAATAACTTTTATGGTTGCACCGAGCAGACTTGAACTGGAGACATTCTGCTGCTGGAGATCCAAGGATAAGTTTTGCCAACTTCACAAGGTATTGGAATCTCTAATGAGGGAATGTCTTGCCAATGCCGATTAAATTCGAACTTGCATCCTCAAGTTTGTCATCAATAACTTTTATGGTTGCACCGAGCAGACTTGAACTGGAGACAATCTGCTCCTGGAAATCCAAGGATAAGTATTGCCAACTCCACAAGGTATTGAAATCTCTAATGAGGGAATGTCTTGCCGATGCTGATTAATCTTTATTAAGTAATCACTGATCGTCTGATTGCTGTAAATGATTGCTGTAAAACACTGGTTTGTTTGTCATTAGCCACAGTTCTTCCTTAATCATTCTTTTCCCCATGATCTAAGGCCTATAAAAAGAGTTTAGCTTCACCTGTCGTCTTTAGATTCAATAGATTTAGCAATTGATTGGTATTTGAGGTTTTAAACTTGTAATCAAAAGAAGCATAGTAATATATTTGAAGTCATGGCCTTCTTTTCTTAAATCAAACTAGCAACCATCATGTATTTACTCAGTGATTGAATTTGATCCAAACTTTCAGATTAAAGTCTTGGAATCCTTTTGAATCTCCCTTTGAATATATTTGATCAGTAATATATTTGAAGTCATGGCCTTCTTTTCTTAAATCAAACTAGCAACCATCACGTATTTACTCAGTGATTGAATTTGACCCAAAATTTCAGATTAAAGTCTTGGATTCCTTTTGAATCTCCCTTTGAGTCAATTTATTGCTCCTTGGAATCAGTTGAATATTAGAGTCTACAGAGTGTTTGAATCCATCGTGAATGTGTGATTTAGTTCTTAAAATTACCAGTCTGATTGGTGTTTCAAAAGCAGCACATTTTAGTTCCATTATAATTTGTCATGAAGGGGTGCTTCAATGACTGTATTTGTACGAAAAGAACTTTGAAAATTATCATATCTCATATTCTTATTCCCATTCCATCTGATGGACACAATTCTGCTTGGTTGAACATTGGGCACATAACTCATTTGATCAAATACTTTATTCAATTCTTAGAATCACGGTAGGTGACCAAAGATCTGCATTGCATCATCTTTGGATTGATGAAACTAGTGGATTTTTAGTTTCCAGCAACCAGATGTCAGCGATTACTTAATATGGGTTGATCCGTTAGGGATTCCCTCATTGGAGGTTCTAGTGGAGTTGGCAAAAGCAATGACGGACATCCAACCTGCAGGATGCCTATGGTTCAGGGTTAGACTTCTCTGCTTGTCTTTCTAATGTCTAAAGATTTCTACCCAAAGGAGGCTTTTGAGAATCAAGGGTATTTTTGTCACTTAAGATTATAAAAATAACAGTTTGGAAAGGCTCAGGCTAATTGTGGAGCACAAATAATTGCTCAACACATTGTGTGAGATATCGTTCAATTGAGTTTAAAAAACCAAGCATGAAACTCAGACGGACCTTTCTAGCATGTAAGGTGTTATTTTTGCTTAATTGCAATCTGTATTAAGAGTATGCCCCTTCAAACAAAATTCTTCCTCAACCAAACTCAACTTCTTCTGTAAAGGAAGGGAATAGCAGTGAATGTTTTGCAATCTGTGGACTTCTTTCAGGTATATTCAATTTGTTAAAGGATATTTCAAACCAATCCTTACAAAGGAAGCTGAAAAAGTTATTTCGAGCTATTACCAACTCCAAAGAAGATCTGCAACTCAAAATGCAGGTTTTATCCGGACAAATATCATTTTATGATTTATAATCATTGTCATTTTGCTTGCTTAGATCGTGTGTTGCAATGCAGCAAGGACAACCGTGCGCATGCTGGAAAGTTTAATAAGACTTGCTCAAGGTAGATTACTCTCCATTTAGAGCATACATCCAGCATAAACTCCGTACTTTTCCTCACCAAGGATTTCAACACTATTCATGTTGCAGCACATGCAAGACTGATGTTCAGAAACGAGGTAACTCGATTAGATGCCATCACTGCCATTTTATGCATCGAATCATCCATGACTACCTCAGCCATAGTGGACTGCATTGGGAATGCCCTGCACTCCAACTTCACCGAAAACCCTGATCAAGAATGTATCCTTGCCATTATTTTATCCCTACACACATGCATAGATGCTTGTACGAAAATTTGATCCATGCATGTACTCCTTTTTGAACATATATACCTGCCAAAAATGAATTGCATTGGCAGAGCAAGAGTGCTCTATAAGTCTACATACTATTTAGGTAGGTTTGTCTTGCATGACTTAGCATGAATTGCATGCATGCTAGCTAATTATACAATGCATAGACATTCTTTGTACTGGTTTACATGGAATAGATTTGTCCAGTGAATCTTTGTGCCACTATATGGTGAAGTCACATTCTGTTCATCTCGACTGGTCATTCATATCCATTTGATGTGTTTGGTATTTCAACTAAATTTGATTCCAAAACTAAGTTAATTCCCAGAGAGATGCTTATATGAATCTTTGCAGGCATATTCTTGGCCATAATTGTTTGTTTGTTTTTGTTTTGTCTTTTTGTTTTGTTTTGTTTTTTTTTTTCTTTCTTTTTTGTTCTTTTTCTTTTGTTTTTGTTTTTGTTTTCATTCTTGTTTTGTTCTTTTAATCTCAGAGATTGTTAACCTATTTGTCTCTTAAAGGGGTTTCATCCACAATATTGGATATGTATAAAAATTCAGTTGAGCTTGGGATTTTACCATGTAGTAGACTGTTTTGTCAGCGAGTCCTGGCATTATGTGTTTTGGAAGTTTGAATCTTGACTAATTGTACTATAGATATTAAGCAAGAAAAGCTGATACTTGACAAGCTGAGCTCCATTGATGAATTTCCTGACATAAACAGCACGGGAAGATCGATAAGTGGGTGAGACTGTATGAAGAGCAAAAGCATCTTGTTTTAAATGGTAAACTCGATTTCAAGTTGCTGCTCATTAGCACAGGGGGTTTTCTAAGCGGAATGGTTGTACCAATTTTTACTACGAAGATCTTATCAGTTGCTATACAGGTGATAGGTTATTAAAATTTGTGAATATCTGTGATTTATTAGGGGTAATTAAACAGTATGTCCTTTGATAATGTATGTAACTCCGAAAAGTTAATGGCTTCATGCTTCATTTCAAGTAATAACCTCTTGATATGATGTTATCCTAGTTGTGAGATGCAGTTACCATTTACAATCTCTCTGGTTCTTGTTATTTGCATCATACCAGCATGAATTGTTTTAGTGCCTCATCATGTAGGTAAGCTCCTTAAAGGCTAGCCGTTTCCAAACCTGAGCACAGCGTAGTGCTTTGTTGTCTGTTGCTATGTTGTAGTTTTGTAGAAAACATTTTCCTTTTTAATTATATATATCTTTTGTGGGAAAAAAAAAAAAAAAACAGGCACTCATCCATTTTGCCCCTATGGGAACTTTGAACTCTCAACCATCCACTTTAGGAAGAGGAGATGTCACTAGACTACTTTGAACTCTCAACCTTCCACTAGACTACATACACTGGAGTGGTTTTTTTTTCAATGATTGATTTGTATCAAAGCTCCTATATAATGTGACTTTTCTCTTTTTCATTCTCAAATTTGTGTATTGGCATGTAACAAAATTTTAAAGTTTTTCTTTAAGTTCCTAAATTATTTATAACCCTTTTAACAAAGGAATGAAATCCAAGCTCACACTACCATAATTTTCATATAATTCATCATGATTATTTTATTTTATTTTATTTTTACAAAAGTGTTGAATGTTGTATGACTTACTTGCTTAACTTACAATTGGAGAATGGGAGTAGAGTACAATTAGGAAATGGCAGCATTGCTTGTTCCTAAACATTGCTCTTCTAACCAAGTAATCTCACTGTACAATTGGGAAATGGCAGCATTGCTTGTCCCCCTTGAGATCCCGAAGGATACGAAAAACAACACCAAATTGAGAAGATCTCGGTGCAACCATGAACTGACTAACAATACGAGAGATATCTAGGTGGTTGGTAGTAAGATATATCATACTACCAACCAATTGCCTATATAGAGTACCATCACAGAGAGGTTCACATAATGAAGAGTGAGTCTTATGTTGGGCTTGAGTGGTGTGCTTGCGATCATGCTATCAGTTATACTTGTTTTTGAAAGATATGAGTTGTATATTGTCTAAGCGAGACAGTAACCACCTATAGTTGTATTACTCTGGAGACCCAGAAAAGAATTGAGTGTTGCAAGATTCTTCATCTCAAACTGTTGAATGAGAAACTGCTTAAGTTCTCGAATCCCCAGCACATTGTCCTCGGTGATAAATCATATAAAGCAATAGATGAATGACACCGCTGGCAGTACACCTGATAAACAATGCCGAATCATAGGAGCTAGTAGAGTAGCTAAAACGGGATTTGGTTGAGCTGAATTTAGCAAACCAAGCTCGAGATGCCCGTTTGGGGGCCATATAGGGCATGCCCAAGTTGACACACCTTATTGAGAGGATAATGATAACTTGCAGGAGGTTGTATGTAAACTTCCTCAATCACCATTGAGAAAGACATTCTTAACATCTATCTGAAAAAGTGCCCAATGTTGGGAGGTTGCCACAACAATACGAGTGCGAACAGAGGGAAGACAAGCAACAGAAGCAAATGTCTCTTCAAAGTCAATGCCATATTCCCGTATGAACCTTTTAGCAACAAGTCAAGCCTTATAGCACTCAACAGACCCATCTGAACGAGTCTTGATCTTATACACCCATTTGCATCCTACAACAAAATTTCTAGGAGACAAATCAATCAGATCATGTCTGAGTTTTGATTAGTGCATCTAACTCCTCTTTCATTGCTTACTGCTATAAAGAGTTAGAAGATGCCTCAAGAAAAGCGGGAGGTTCATGTAAGGTTATAAAGACATGATAGCCATGGAAATCACTAAGACGTGGAAGTGGAACTCTTACTCAAGTGGAACGACGAGGATTTGAAGAAGTTGTGATATCAGGGACCTCGGATTGGTTAGATGACTGTGACTCAGCTGTCAGAGGGTTGGCTATGTCTAATGATTCTTCTAAAGAATAAGGAAAAAGATCTGTAGAGATGTCCAGTGGAAGAATATGAAAAGTGTGATTGGGTACGCCATTAAACTTAGACAAAGTATAAAACATTTTATGTTCCCAAAAAATAACATAACGAGAAACTCGAAATCATTTAGCAACATGATCATAACATCTATACCTTTTTTTATTTTTTTCAAGTCCATAACCAAGAAAACAACAAAGCTGGGAAAACTACTGTAACTTCGTTCGCTCATGAGGTCGGAGAAGGACAAAATAGGCACATGCAAAGACTTTAAGATGACTGTAGTTAGGAAGCTTCCCATAAAGACATTCATAGGGTGCTTGGTTGTATAAAAGTGGTAAAGGTACACGATTCATGGTATAAACGACCATGAGAGATGCTTCAGTACCTCGGAAGGAAGAAGGCACAAAAGCAGAAATGACGAGCGAACGGGTCAAGTCCAAAATATGTCGAAGTTTGATTTCGGCTCGACCATTCTGTTGTGACGTGTTTGTACAAGAAGTGTGAAAAACAATACCATAATGTTGGAGGTTTTTTTTTTTTGAAATTCATTTTGTCACCTGAGCATTATCAGATTGAAAGGTCTTTATGTTTTTGGAGAACTGAGTTGCAATCGTTTGAGTAAATTAATCATGAAATATCTTAAGTAATTTGGAAAGATTTTCATAAAAAATATCCATGTGAATTGTGAAAAATCATCAAGGAAAATAACAAAAGATCTTGATCCTCCCATAGTAGATATAATTGAAGGTTTCCAATATTTGAATGAACAAGATCAAAAGGAGCAGAAGCAAAAGACTCACTTTTATTAAATGGTAATGCATGTTGTTTACTCAATTGACATTAAATACAATCAAAAGACTCAATTTTAACCTGACTTAACAAACCCTTAGATGCTAGGTTTTTGACATGTAAGTATGACGCATGACCCAAGCGAGAATGCCACAACTCAAGATTCGAAGAGGTGCATAGCGTAGAGGCAGCAAAAACGGTGGGAGTAGGCAGATCTTAGGAGGAGAGTTCAGATAGTCATCTAATCTTACAGTCTGTCCTAATGATCTGTCTGAGGATCCTATATAACACAATCATTAGATTAAAATGTTATGTTTAAGCCTAATTCAGTTAGTTGACCACAAATAAAAGATTAAGAAAAAGATTTGAAACAAGATAAACACTTGGAACGGATTGAGAAACAGTTCTAATATGACTAATAGCCATAGTGAAGCCATCGACAATGTGTATGACAGGTTAGTGAGAAATAAGAGTCTGAGTGGGAAAAATCAAAATACCAAGAATGATGTGTACCTGGTTTGCTAGAAAGAGTAGTGGAAGATATACCTTGATAACAAGACAAAACTTGGTTGAGAAGTGCCTTGAGGTCAGTTGTGGAGAAAACAAATGTGGTAGATGAAGATTCGCCAGAAGAGTTGTGGACAACCGATGAAATTGAAGGCTGTGTTGACACAACCTCAGTGTTATCCACAGCTGCAATAGAGAGTCAAGTACGAGTGCGACACTGATTAATGTTATTCCCCTGAATCTGACAGAAAGAACTATAAAGAGAAGAATGATCAGTGTTGGAGTTGGATCTCTCAGAGCCAAATCGATTGTTATTGTTACGTCCATTGTGTCGGAAATATGATGAGGACCAATCAAGTGTTGACTGAGATGGAATTGACTGAGAAAACGATGATGGTGTGACCAATATAGTGACATTAGGTTGGGAACGAAGAGTCTGCAAGCGTCTTCTTAAACAAACTCATTGAGAGCTTGCTAAAGTGAAGAAATAGGTGAGTGATGGAAAAGCTGGTTGTGTATAGATTCAAAATTGCCATAAAGACTCGTCAAAAACTGGTGAAGGCGAAGCTGATTACGATACTCTAAAAATTTATTCGCTTAAAAAGGAATGCTTCCATGATGGTTCTAAGAGAGCTAACTGATCCCATAGGTATTTCATATGAGAAATTAACTCATTAATGCGCTGACTTAATTCTTGCTTAAGATTATAAAGTTGAACCATCAACTAATATTGTTAAGCCCCATTAGAGCTGGAGTACCGAAATGTAAGCATGGCCTAGATTTCCTTGGCTGTGTCGTAACTCCCAAATTCTATGCCAATGGAGGGAGTAGCTAAGTGGTGCATCTATGTGATAATCTCGTGATTGTTATTGTCCCAGTCTTCAACACATGTTATGTAGGCGTTGGATGATTCTTCCTTGGCTTATACATGTGCTTCATGATCCCTAGTGACATAGGACCAAAGCTTGTAACCTTTGAGAAAGTTACAAATAGATTGACTCCAAAAGGAGTAATTATCACCATCAAGGATAACTGAGATAGGGCGAGTAACCTTATTTTGTTCCATTTAGAAATCCTAAATGCAAAAATGTACTGCAAATCTGGAATCAACACAAAAACTGGACTGGAAAGTTACTTTCAATTTTTTTATTTTTGTAATTGCTGATGTGGCAGTACAATTAAAGCTGAGCAGGCTGTTGACGTGTCTGTTGATACGGGTACTGATGGGGCAGCTGTCGTGACAAAAGTGGAATCGGTGTTGACATAGATAATGATATGGATACTGACATGGCAAGAAAATGGGCCCCAACAGTGACGTGGCAGGTGACTAGGATGTTGATGTGGCAATTTTCTAAGGTAGATGTTGATAGGGTGCTGACGTAGCGGGACTAGATCATGTGACCTAATGGTTTTGGCGCGTGTGGGAGCGTGGTGTGAACAATTGGCACATGTGGGCGTGTGATGACAACTGTTGACGTGTGGGAGCAAGTGTCGAAGATGAAGAAAGAATAGAGGCTTGTGGCGATGCATGGGGGCATGTGTACGTAGCTTCCTTTCTGACTATTTTTGGTGGTGTGGGGACGGTTTAAGTCTTAACTTGCGCCTGATATGATCAGAACTGCGAAAGGACTTGTTGAGGACCTTTATCGGACACCAAACAAAATATATGTTCTTGATGGGCTATTGGAACACCACTAAGAACTTAAAAAACAAAAAATAAAGATAAAGAAGGAGGAGTGGATGACTCTAATACCATAT